TATCGGGCTTTTCATATTATTACTTTTAAGAAAATCTGTTTTTTAATGTAAAATTTTTTAACAAATTTTTGTCCAGAAATTTTTTTACCAAAATGTAATTTCCCATTAAAATTTATAATTTATTTATTAGCCTGTATTGGCCAAAAGATCAAACTATTATGATTAAACCTGTTGACATTTACCATAGACAACTCCGTATATCCTCGATCTTTGTGGTTCTACCTCCGGCTGCGGTTTAACTTAGCTTCATACAGGTGAACACCAACTTGTCTGAGAAGTGAAGGTGCCGGTGCAATGCCACCATTATGCCGATGGTCAAGAAATTGGGGAGTCTTACCCTCCACGAAACATCCAATGGCCAACAATAGGCAATTGAGCGAACTTTTCCTTCTTTTGCCACACAAGTTTTATAACATAAACTTTTAACGAAGTTGTGGTGCCGGGATAGCCTGGTTGAAAGGGTACCGTACTCACGTTTGCGAGGACGGGAGTTCGAATCCAGCAGGACGAAGACACCCCGTGTAATAAATGGTGACTGGTGCACGTTAAATATGTCGAATCACAAAGTCCTCCATGTTCCCATAACAAATTATACCTCTAGGTGTACTGAATTGGAGATTGATCATTCTCTGGTTCGGATCAAAATTACGATCTGTGGAGGAATGAATTGAAGTATGAATGGGTCCGCCTTATAAACGAGTGTGACCTATGAGTGTGACAGAAGTCGAAATCTTGGCCATAGATGGCGCCACTGGAAAACAAGAACAATCGCAAGCCTTGTCTGAATGACCTACGATGGCAACAACAACATCAGGAAGTGGTCAAGGAGTTAAAATGTACTCTCAATTTCAATTCATTCCATGTTTATCGATTTGATAAGATAATAATCCATGATCAATGTCAAAAGGAAATATCAATTACTTTTTTTCTTAAAAAAATCACAAATATAATTCTGAAATGTGTAGTGTCTCAATTTTCCTGATAAAGAAATCACACTTTATCTTCCTACCGTTAAAATAATGTGAACTTGCACACCTGGCTTTAAATATAAGTGATTGATAGTGGGATTTGAAAGATTTAATTGTCTTCCGGTAAGTGAGCAGCAATAACACAGGTAAAACAATAACATTTTTCTTTAGTGTATTTTTTAAAAGCTCGCTTAAAATACATAAAACTTTAAACGGAAGTAATATTATTAAATAGAAAGTAACTAAGTTATAATGTAAAAAAATTATGGTGATATTGCCGATAGACAAATTATACGTTTCTAAAACTGTTGTATTTGCAAGATGATTTGCCGATTTATAGACTTGTTCCTTTTTTTTTTCTTCTTTTTTTTTCTTTATTTTTTCCAGTATTTCTTACATCTGTTCACTTATTCCCTAGCAACAGTTTAATCATGGCCTCATTTGTGCTCAAAATTGGTATGAGCTTGAAATTACAAAGGTGTGTATAAATAAATATTTACGGACGAGAAGTACTATGGAATAAAAATAAAAAAGTTAGATTCGATTATTACTTCAGAAANTCACTTATTCCCTAGCAACAGTTTAATCATGGCCTCATTTGTGCTCAAAATTGGTTTGCTGCACAAAAACTATGAGCTTGAAATTACAAAGGTGTGTATAGATAAATATTTACGGACGAGAAGTACTATGGAATAAAAATAAAAAAGTTAGATTCGATTATTACTTCAGAAATCATCAACTGTCAAACTTGTAAATAAAAATATAATACGGATGATCTACAGCCCGCTGAAATGTAATTATGCAAGTTGTTAAAAAAGTTAGATTCGATTATTACTTCAGAAATCATCAACTGTCAAACTTGTAAATAAAAATATAATACGGGTGATCTACAGCCCGCTGAAATGTAATTATGCAAGTTGAAGTTCACGATTCATGCACGCTTATTAAACCAAATAAGCGTGCTGAAAACACTAATTTCGTTTATGAACTTAACGTGACTTTTTTCGAAACTCTAACTTATTCACAAGTTATAGCAATTTTAACAACTTTGTAGAAGTTGCCATACAAAAATGTTTATAGATGTTGCCAGGTATAAATTTTATCATTTATATTGAAATTTTTAAAACTGTAAAAGACTCAAGACAGATAAAAATTGTTTCCAATTTGAATTGTTATGATGATACAAGTTTATCGTTTTATGTCGTTAGCGAGTGAAATTGCTTCTCATTTATTTTCCTCTTATTACGACATATAATATGATAATCTAAGTTAAATTATATTTTTTTGTTCAGTACAGTTTAATATCAGCAGTTTTTCAATTATATATCGAATTTCGATATTTTCGGCAAAGAGAATATTTACACAAAAATGTCAGTGCAGAACAATTCCTGTTTATTGATACTTATTCAACCCGTGAAATAAAACTGCGTAGACGAAGCAAACGTAGACCACTAATCCATTGAAGTGACATTTATATACACAGAGACATGGAAAAAATATATACATTCGAAACTGTTTTTAATTCAATTCGTTTAACTTTAGAACACATGATGGCCACCTGCTTATCCCGACTGGCCAGTGGACACCTGAAATGTCTCACATTTTCTGCAAATCAAAAAGTCTTTCCTCTTTGCCCTAAATGCCAACAAAACCAGGCATCACCTGAGCACATCTTGAACCTCTTCAGNTCTATTTAGTTAAATGTTTTTATATGTGTAGCCACATAATATATCTTTTGCCCGCTTAGCAGGAAAAATGTGTCTACGTGTTCATAATCTATATATATGTCTCTGTCAATGTGATTAATTGGTTAATATTAATAATAACCGGTAACTATTAAATAATAACCAAAGAAGCCGGTGAAGGTGATTCATTGGGTACCTGCACTTCAACAAGAACTCCTATACCTACACACGTGAAACATGACGCCAGCTAATCTTTTATGAGCAAAATGGCATATTAAAATTGAGCTAAGTTTTTCTGCATAAGTTAGAACATTAATTAAGGATAAATTAATAAGTTAAATACAGAGCCGTATAGTAAGTACATCGAACTAATTGAAATATAATTCGTTCTCGTCTACTTCTTTTACTTAAGTTAGATTTATTATTTGTTTATGCATTTTATTGTATATATTTTTTGTTTTGTGTACCTTTCGATGCATAATTAGTTTGTTTATGCTCCACGTGGCTTCCTGCCTGTCTCTATGAAAAGTATATAGCGAAAGAATTGAAATCTTTGAGAAAGAATTTAGAATATGTCACTGAAGAGAATTGATACTTGACGGGCTTAGCTTATGCGAAATAGAAGGGAAAGAATAGTTGCTAACGTAAACAAATGCCACGTTTCAACAACGAATCAGGATCGAGATATCCACACTACGTCACTTGCAGCGAATTTATCACAATCACCGGTTACTATTAATAATAACCAATGAAGTTTGGTAAATGTAATTCTTTCAAGTTAATATTTTATTTCAATGCGCTTATTTCAAAATGGATTAGTTTATTTTATTTACTTATTTTTTGAAGAGTGACGTGATTAAAAATTAAAGTATACCCCACACTGATGTTTTCTTAAAGTTAAGTGCAACTGTTCAGAATACATTTGCCTGGTATACCCTACACTGATGTTTACTTTTTTTTAAGATTGAATGTAACTGCCTGGAATATACTTGGCCGGTATACTCTACACTGATGTTTTTTTTTTAAGGTTAAGTGCCACTGCCCGGTATAGGCTGTTCCCGGCATAACCAAACCATAAGCTGTTTTATCATTGTCTTCAAATGCTGTTTGTTATTTACACCGAACTCAATAAGTTCGAATTTTTATTTCTCAATTTGGCCAAAAGAAGCAGTTATTATTAATTTCGATGATTTGTATTAATAATAACCGGATTTATCACTGTAACTGTAACACATACACTTAGTGGCACACCCATGTCCCAATGCTATATAAACCGTTTAATCACATTGACCCAACTTAATTGGTTATTATTAATAATAATCGGATTTATCACTTTTACCGTAACAGATATACATTTCTCTTATGTGGCATCTTAAACTCGTATACTTCTTTGTCTATTGGCAACACTATAGTATTAGTCTTTAAGTAGTAATTTAGGTAGTATTGAACAGTTAGTTATACATGTTGTTGAATAGTTAGTTAGTAAGTAATTATTTTGATTTATTTTCGATCCCTTTTGAAATTTTAAGCATATATCCGGTACTATGATGCCCGCATATCATGTACGGAAGCGGAGATTTTCGGGCAATAGCATTTATAATATGAGGATGGAGCATTCCAATGAGGGGAACCGGGTTCGAACCCCAGCAGTGGCTCGTAGATACGAATTCCGGCTTGCAACTACCACAGTGCTGACGTAAAATATCCTCAGTGGTAGACGGATCATGGGTCTCTATACCGTTCGACTGACCATGCGAAGTTTTTGTAGTTTTCTGCCCCATGTCATGTAAATGCGGGTTAGTTCTATCAAAAAGTCCTACACGAAGGCAAATTTCTCCCAATACTTGATCCAGAGGTTCCCTTGTCTACTGGAGTGAGTTCAAAATTACAAGGCTATGAAGTTGAACATTGGTAGTCGTAAACCCAAATTTGGGTCGGCTGTTCAACGACGGTTATAAAATAAAATAAAATAGCATCCTCATACCATACGATACTCAAGTTATGATACGAAAGGTGCAGGCAGGAGGTAGTGTTAATGGAATGAGTTCTCTATTTTATCTCACGACAGAGATGGATATAATTTTCATGCATCTGCTGAAATGTCTCTTCTGTTCTGTGTCTGTTTTTCAAAATAATTTTGAAAGATGATCAAATTTGTCACCAAAGGCGGCTAATAATAATACTTTTTTAAAATATTTTTCAGCATCCAATATGGAACTTTTCAACGTCAAAAGCATCTGCTTATTCCTTTCATTGATTGTCTTGGGTCGTTCACAACTTGAAGAGAAATGTCCTACGACTAACATATGGCCATGCACCTGCAAAACTTACCTAGATGGCGCTTGCATTATTACATGCAGTTTGGCCACGCAAGAACAAGTCGATAAGATAGCAGATATTCCCAATCTTTGTGACGGTGACGTCCACTTTATGTTGGTGCACAGCAAAATTTCGGGAATATCTTCAAAACTGTGGAAGGTACTGCTCTCGTCAAAAACAGTGGATGTGTCCATAAAACGTGCTACTGTTGAAGGACTGGTGCGTCCTGGAGATGAATCAATACCTAGTGTATATACACCTGGAGCTGCAGTGATCAAGGTAGATCATTCAAAAGTTGAAAACTTTAACTGGAAGCAATTCAGCAAATTTTATTCAGGTATTAATGATTTAGCGTACTACACTTTTAATTAAATCTTGTATCCAAGAAAAATGGCTAAAATTGGAAACAAAAACAACGGAAAAAGAGAGACTTATCTGATTTGCTGCATTATGTTTAAGAAACTAGATAATTTTATCTCACCTCGTTTCAAAATTAGTTACTAAGTACGGCAACAGCCGGAGCTGCTAACTAGGAACTATAAACGATATTTTCAAAATTATCATCCTTTGTAGTAATAACGTGAGGCAGTCTGAAGCAAAATTCAACTGACGTCCGAGCAAATATTTCGATTGTAATACTGGAACTACATTAATTTAAAGGGGCGCCTACACAAACGTGCCAGTATAAAAATTGAAGAAATAATTTTCCTTTCTTAAAATGGAAAGTTTATATGAATTTTTTGAAGGGGGAAGAAAGAATTTTGTGGGGATTCAATCTTAAAGTTTGATTGTAATAGTCTGACGTGTCTCTGAGACATCATTTCTTAGATTTTTTCATCCTATTGCGCCATCTGTTGACGAACTTTTAACATGTTTTAACATGAACTTTCAAAATCATTCGTCATTTTTAGGAGACATGAAAAGAAAAAAGAGATAAGTTCAGTATGAGGAAATAAGCCTTAAAATGTATGGAAACATCAAAAAGCTGCTCACAAAAAAATTATTAAAAATAATTGGTTTACTTAACAGACTAGGCTGAATCGATTAATATTGTATACTTTTGTATCAGCTGACCATAGCATGTTTTTAAGCTTAAAATGTTGATTCTTTTAGAAATATGTCTCAACGTGTCCTTCCTTTATTCTCTTCAATAATGTTCAACATTTTGGTTGTACCAGTGTTTTTTTTTTATCAATTGAAGTAAATGAACATGGCTAGTCATAAAATGGTCATAGCATTTCATAATGTTTTTTAAACTACCCCCGTTGCCTCACGCGATAGTATTAAAAATTGTCTCCGGTACAAATTATTTAGTTTATTTAAAGATGCTCCATCTAACTATATTGAGATTGGATTCTTATGCAAGACTAGAATATTTTAAAATAATTCAGTAGTGAATAATGATTATGCGAAATATTTGAAGAAAGCTGGATGAATTTTCAGATAGGTTTTGCATGCATTTTATTCAGGGGTTTAAAAAGTTGGATTTTATTGTTCAACCCATTGTATTACGATAATTTTTTTTTAAACACCCATTTTAAGCTATGGTTTTTTTCTTTCAAACGCGCATATAATGCTCTGTCCATGTTCATAAACACGAATTATGAACTACATTCGGGAATAAATTGGCTGATAATTGTTCCACAATCACCTCCCCTATTAAATATTTTTAAAATTCTTATTTAAAAAAGGAAGTTTAGAAAGTATACACATTAGGTGAACTGTGAATTCAGTGTGGAAATACAAAAATAATATCTGATGAATTACTGGCGAGAAAGGTGGAATCAAAACCTGTTTGATTGTGAGAGAAAGGAGTTAATTAGAAACATCTAAGAATTTCAAAATGTTATCCAACAGGTTTTGAAGTTTTTATTAGTTAGGTTCTTACCACTGTTTAACATTCAGTTACGACCCCCTAACGTGTATATTTTATTTGGCAAGGATTCTCAAAGTATATATAAAAGGCGGTGATTGTGAAACGCCATAACAGGTTTATGGTATCAAAATGACGTCACACACGGAAAATTCTAAGGGCTGAATGACAAATAGGGAAACCTCAGTTCTTTTACCGCTCGTCCACTAACGGTGCAACAGAGCAAACAATGGAGGTGATAGGATTATTTTTAATAAATGACTGAAATTATCAAAAAAGTATAGAAAAAAAATTGTGGACTGTGAATAGGGATTTCTGCAGGTCTAGTTTAAATATTAAACAAAAAGTGAGAACTATAAATTCTGATTTTTGGCTGCTTTATTTAAATTACACTTTTTCCGGTTTTTAAAGTTTATTTTTATAACTAAATTATATTATTTACTATTTCTTAAAAGTTTGACCTTTTCGGACTGTAGTTCTACTGTGCGACAGTTATAAATCAATAATATTTATTAACGTCGATAATTTACCTAATATATCCGCTATTATTATGTCAAATTACATGTTCTTCTTTAAAATCAAAATTTAGATTGTCTTCCATGAATTGAACCATAAGGCTCAATTGTCCTATGATTGTCTAGTTATTTTGATTCATACATTTCCGAACTATAAAGAAACCACTGATTCTACTAGAAACACAATGTTAAGAATGCAGTTTTGTGTTTAACACTAGCAGATTTATAAATCGAGTCAACAAAGCATATTAATTCTCAGTGAAATTTATTTTATAGAGGGAGAATTGACGATTGTTGTGGAGGACACTCATCTAACAGAGCTGACACCAGAATTTGGTGAAATTGCCAGTGGGCAGGTGGAGAAAGTGGCAATTGAGAGTGCAGGGCTGAAAGTCATCCGCGACCATCAGTTTGAACCATTTGCTGACCTCGAATCTCTCTCTCTTCAGAATAACGAGCTAACATCCATTTCAAGATCAATTCTTGCAAAACCAGCAAAAAAATTACAATTTCTCCATCTTAAGTAAGTAAGAGTTTAAATAGCTTAATAATAAATATTATAACAAACAACTCGAACCCTAGGTCATCTCAAAAACCCAAATGAAAAATTATGATGTCTGATTCACGTATCTCTGAAATAAAGTCTAACTTTTGAATTATCCTTTTACTCATCTCGCGGTCGTTGCTGGCTAAAAAACTTCTTTGAAAGAATATTGTCTAATAGTGCAAGGTTTCCTCAATAGGTCGGTACCTCTAATACCAGTATTTCCTCTTCGGTATCCCTAACACCAGTATTAAGACACGTACAGAGCACAAAATGAAAAACGGAACTGTTTAATAACTTTTTATTCAAGATGCTTCGATTTTTTGATCCAGTTTTGTTACTTCTTACTTTATACTTTAATACTTCTTTACTTTTAGTTACGAAATCAGTCACAAAAACGTAATTTCTCTAAATAAGCATGCGGACCAAGGACTTTTCACTTTTGCAAAAACCAAATATAAATTTAATATTTAGAAAAAAATAACTTTCAAAATCAACTGTTACTTGTGTAATTTATTCTAAAATAAAAGCCATCTTGTTCATCATTTATTTATAATAATAGGGACAATAACTTGTTAAAATAATTAATAATGCTTCTTTTAAGAAAGTCTTTTTTTCACAAAATTTACAGTTATTTCATTAAAAGTATCTTTAAGCTAGATGAATACCTGTTCATCGTACAGGGTGAAAAAAAAAGTAAGTAATTAATAAATTAGAACAACACAACGAAATCATGTTCAAAATTGAAAGACATATGCCAACTCTATGAACAAAGTTAGCATAATTAGATTTCTTTATATATTATATTTTGTCTTTCCCGTTGGGCTTACTACTCTATGTGGGAATACTATCAAAGAATATAGAGGGTTAGAATAAAAGTTCTTCGTAACACAGGCACCGCAAGCGGTATTATCTCAGTAAATGGAGAATGGGCAAAATGTAGAAGTGCAGCCCCCTCTATATTCTTTGATAATACTGACCGTATTACAAGTAGTCAACATTAAATATTTTATCTTTTGAGAGAGAAGTACAAGTAATACATTCACTAATATTGATGTACAGTGCGTCAAAAAAATTAAATAAATAAATTTTCAAAAAAAAAGGGGAAAAAAGTGGATTACCACGAATAACTTTTGATCTAATGATCAGATCCTCACGTTCTAGGTCATCAAATCCATCATTGGAAGACTCATGGCTTTGCACACTAAAATGACTCTATTCATTTATTCAATCTTACCTGCAAGTTGACTTCCCCTTAGCAAGCGTCATTTTTAGAAACAGATTGTTTACAAACATGTAATTTACTGAATTGCAAAAATGAATTCTTACTTGCCCATCTTTCACATTTTCGTGGGGGTTAATATTAGTTAATCTTAATAGTTCGAGAGGTTGACCTCAAATATGCTAATTCATAAGCGCAAACGATATTTCAAGTTACAAAATCAGAAATAAAAACGTACTTTCTCTGAATAAACATACCTTTTCCGACGGATTCGGATTTCTGATTCCAAAAATATAGGGGGTACTCGCAATCTGGGAAATATGATCTCAATAGTTTCGTCGGGGGGATGATCCAAAGTTTGGACCCCTTAATGTTAATTTTACTTTTTATGTATTTCACTCAAGAACTTTTTAAGCTAATTTAAAAATCTTGCACACAGTTAGAAAACTTGTTCATCCAAATATAGTTCCTTGCAAAAATTAACTTTTAGTAAATATTTATTATTTTTTATTATTTTAGTTAACAATGGTTAAAAAAAATATGAATTGTAAGGTATAAAATTTTTTGCATAATTTTGCATGTCAAAATACAAAATTTTAGCAAAATCGTTAAAAAGTTCCTGAGAAATGAAATTTCAAAAAAGTCAGATATTAACTGCTTATACTATTATTACAACTACTAATATTATTTATTACATTTTGATTATTATATGGCAAACTCACGTGTAATGATAATTTACCTTCAATCGAAGAAAGACAAAAAACATAGTGAAATATTTAAATGGATGCATTAAATAACACTCAGCCTAATTATTCATATATAGTACTAAAACCTGTTGAAGTATGCTCACAGATTCCTCCAAGCATATCTACTACCATTTCTTAGAAGAAGAAAGAACTTCGCCCTGTAGTTCTTCTTAATGAATATAATTTTCAATATAAATGTAAACAACAACAATCTCGAACTCTTGACCTGCTCTTCTACTTCCGATTAGAAAGTATACAGCTACTTATTAACCCTTATTCTGCGAGGCGATATTTTCAAACAGATAATTTTGTTTCTAATTTTAAAAAATTAAATAATTTTTGAGCTCAAATTTGCTGTATTTCATACGATATTAATGATATTAAGTCATTCTGGTGAGCTCGAATTGAAAATTTGCTTCAGTTATTTTTAAATGTAGTGTTAAAAACGGTGACATGGTTGCTAGATTTAGGAAGTACTCGCTTTTTTGACAGTCCTGATTTGGCTTCCTTTTACTTGTTTATTACTGTTATTGCTGCAGGTCCTGCAGCATCGTACTAACACCTCCTAGAAGAAAGAAGGCTTCAGCACGTATTAATTTAGTAGTCCGACTTCACGAACATAAACTGCGCAGTGGATAAAAAGTAATGAAGATGTCACTACGTTCGGGCTACTAAGCTGAGCAGTGGTTGAAATACGAAAGATGTCATTGCGTTTGGACTACTAAAGGATCAAATTTCTTGTTTGGAGCCAAATGGCTCCAAACTACACCAGAAAGAGTAACCCTGAAGTAAAGAGCTCGCAGCTCATCCAGGTGTGAAAACACCATCCGTACAGGGCCTGACAGCGAAAGCTTAAATCACACTTCTGAAAGAAAGTTTTTGTTGTACTGTTCGATCCTGTTGTCATTTATGGATGAAAAAGGAAAGTTCTTCCTATTCACCCGTAAGCGGTATTCTCCCTCCGTACTATATGTAGAGGTGCTCTCCCTCATACCAGTGGTGCATCTCTTTGACACAATTATTTAAAATTTATATTTTGGTTATGTCTGGTGGGTTTTTATAATGGTAGAGAGTGTGTCGTAATGTTAAATATTTGTTTAACAATTATGTCATTGTTGTATTTTTTTTAAAACCGTTATTGAACACCCGACTCAATTTTGGGTTTACGACTACTAAAGCTCAACTCTGTCATAGTGTAATTTTGAACCGAATCCAGGGGACAAGGGAACTCTTGGATCAAGTATTGGGTGGAAAACCACGAAAATCTCCCACGATTAGCCTGGCTGCAAAGGGACTCTATCTCATGATCGGTCTACCACTGAGGATATTTTGCGTCAGCACTGTAATCGTCAACACTTCATTTATATATACTTCATTTATGTATTATTAGATAATTATTCCTTTAAAGGGACCATAAAAACCTTTTTCCGCAATATCTATGTTAAGGATTCCATGTCTTGATGCAGTTCTTATGCGTGTAAAATATACTAACATAATGTATTATACCTACATTATGTTAGTATATTTTACACGTATTTATTATGTTAGTATATTATACCTACATTATACCTGTATTATATATACATATTTGGTACCTATTAAAACTGAACCAACTATCTTAATACCAGTAGTACTTATTATCAAAATTAATTAGCATAATTAGAGTAATAGTTCGGCAATTTTTACTCTTCTCTTTTACGAATCAGTACCATTTTTTCATTAATATTGCTTTCAACATAGCTTATTTTTTTTAATTTTCATTAGTAATTATTACCAAAATGCATGATTGGCGTTAAAAATGTTACATCGTGATTTTTTAATTACCAAAATTAATCATTGGTGTAGTGCGTCATCACAGAAGTTTCCTTCATTAAAATGCAACGCGGCTTGAAGAAGCCGATCAGCCAAATGCAAATCAGCTTTCCCGAACGCCTACACTCAACGAGTATAAAAGGAGCTCTGGTCAGCATTCGACTTCAGCCCTCACCTGGAGATGAGGGCCTGACCTAGCCAGCCGAGTCCGGAAGTATTGGCTACTTACTTAGATGGTTGACTTTACTTTGTTAACGCTTTTAGAATTCCATTTGTTTGTAAGAAAATAATCGAAGTTATTTTTATGAAAAATTTCTGATGTCTTCTAATTGCTAAAGTGTCAATAACAGCATTGCGATTTTTTACGTTTGTCTTAAACAAATATGTACCATTTCTTAACTAATTTTGCTATTTAGCCCATAGTTTGTTTTTATTTCAATTATTGGTACCTATTACCGAAATTGATTTAAATAATAAGCGTTAATAATAGCACAGTGATTTTTCACGCTTCTCCTAAATAAATAATTAACATTTTTCTATTTTGCTTTTCAGTACGTAATTTTTTTAAATTTCAGTTAGTAGCCATTCCTAAAATTATTACCACTTTTGTCAATAATAGTATGCATTGCGATTTCTTGTTTTCTCCAAAACATTAGTATTATTTCTCCATTAATTTGGCTTCTTAGTACATAACGTATTATTTATTTCAATTACCGTTTATTTTATATTACTTAGTTTTATACATGCATGATTTAAAAGCGTATATCTAAACAATATAAACACATGGCTTCAAGTAAATTCAGGAATACTAACTTAGTAACGTAGTCGACCTATGTTCATTGAATTATGTTGATCATTAAGNTGTTGTTGTTTATTTAGTTGTATTTAGTTTCAATAACTTTTCTTTATAATGCATAAAATCTGGCGAGCAGCTATTTAAACGATCGAACACTTCGTTTGTTTATTTGTGGCTTGAAGTTAGGCTCGCAGAAAATGCCGTTCATGGGTTAAATTTAGTACGAACAACACAACCTGTGACGTAGGCTATATTATACCCAATTACCTTTTATTTCATATTACTTAGATTTATAGATGCATGATTTAAAAGCGTATATCTAAGCAATATAAACACATGGCTTCAAGTAAATTCAGGAATACTAACTTAGTAACGTAGTCGACCTATGTTCGTTGAATTATGTTGATCACTAAGCTAATTTGACAAAACGAATAAAAAAATAATTTAATATTAAAAGCGCGCAATAAATTCCTTTTTTTTCATTAGAGCTATAAGCTAGAAAACAACACTGATGCTATCTATAAAATAATAGTAATTTAATTTTTATCAATGGCAAGTTCTAAACTAATCAGAAGTTTCCATTTCTTTTTTTGCTCAACCCGCTCGAACGGTTCGTATAAGAATGTTATGTTCTAAGGTCGAAAACAGTGACCTTCCTGTGTTTCGAAGTATCAGTATCCAAATTTCATCTCTCTCGGTCAGGTGGTTTAGGAATCTATATAGGACACAAAGACAGACATTCATTTTTATATAAGTAGATAACGGTATTGAACTAAAAAAAATTTTTTCATCTTACAGTGGCAATTCCTTAACTTCAATACCAGTTGATTTATTTTCGGATATGCCTGCTTTAGAAGTGGTTTATCTAAGAGAGAACAATTTAGTTACCCTACCTCAAGATCTCTTTTCTTCCATTTCTTCGCCAAATTTGCAGAGGATAGATTTTGTCAGTAAGTACTATAACCCACATATTTACTTTAGCTTCGCATTAACAGTTTTTCAACTCGCAAAGGTAATACTATAAAATAATTTGAAATTTTAAATTGTGTTAAAATACCTTTCTTTTAAAAGAACGCTATTGAAAATTTGTGATCTTTTTCTTTCATTTTGGAAAAATAAAAACGCCTTTCTTTTTCGAGCAAATGATCTGATAATGATTCGATAACGTTCCACAACGACTGTGCAAAATTTAATAACTTTAAATAAAAATGCATTTTTGTTAACTTTCCAATAATATAGTACACATAAAGTTTTTAAAAATATTCTGTAGTGAGAGTTTCAAGAGTTTATTAGTGGTATAGAATTTGAAAACTAGTTTTTATATATTTTCATAAAAGAAATTGTTTGTAGCTGAGTTGTTTTAAAACTAATGGACAAATGGGTACTTGCAACTCGAGAAATGAAGTGATTATGCCTAACCATCTGATTTAAATGAGATTTAATTGGATGCATGCAAGCGGCGTCACGCGTGTGTGTTGAACCTGATTGGCTTCTGAATCGACAAATGCCAGGATTTACCTACAATGATGTCACTTGCAGGCATCCAATCATCACTATTTTTTATTTATTTTTGCACTACGCATTTTAAATCGTTACATTCCATGAAATTACTTGCATGCCACTGTTACATTCCATAAATTTTAAATATTCATCTTACTTCTTTAAGATGTATGTTTTATCGGTGAAATTTTTATACTGGGAAAATATTATTCCGTCCTATAATTTAGCATTTCACTGAATTAATTGTGAAATAATATTCATATTAAGAACGAATAAAGTACATTTCTCAGAAATAAGGGAAGTATAAAATTAAAGACAAACTGATTCTCTTCTTTTTCTTATTGCCTCTTGATTTCTAATCAATGTATAACTTTTTAAAAGCACGTAAAAAATATTTAGTTTATATTTCTTCTCCAATTATCATAAAAGCTATCTTAACTTCAATTATTCATAAAAGATATCAATTTATTCATGAAAGCTATCTAAACTTCACAAATATGTTAATCTGCATCCATGAGTGACTAAGCCATTATACATTTATTAATAAATATTTTTCTGCTGTCCACAGATTAAACAAAACAAAAAACTTTTTTTATATGCATTGCTTTTACCCAAATGAACTCTTAATTGCAGATCATTCATAATCAGTTTTAATGTCATTTTGTACAAAATTAAATTAATTAATGCTTATTTCAACTATGTATTACCGAAATTCGAGTGTCATCCAAAATTAATTTTTTTTTTTTTTGCAGATAATCCATGGCATTGTGACTGCAGGTTAATGTGGATTCTAAAAAATTCGAAATATCATTTAAATATGGGTATTTGTGCCACTCCAGATTCGTTAGCTGGCAAAAAAATTAAATCAAACATGCTGGAATGTTAATCATAACAGAACTTATACGCAACAGAGCATATTATGTCACGGTATAATTAGGACCAAAAAAAATTTAATAAAGCATATTTGTAGTGTCAGTTTCTGTCAGTTATTTTAAAATTTCCAAATATTAAAAAAAAGAAAAAAACAGCGCTGATAACAGCGCTGAAAATTATTTGAGATTCAATGGGTATATAGTTATCAAATTCAAATCTTGATTACTTAAAAAAAAGCAGTCCTGTAATATTCATACCAGTAAATGAAAATTAGCCTGAATTAGAACTTAGAACTTCCAAATGACATTAATTTCTTTTGCATTTGTTAGATGGTCATCTAGCTACAACGTATTAACCCTTTGCACTCGAAGTTCTTTCATCAGTTAAAAAAAGGACGCCACCACTAACGTTTTGAAGGATTTTTTACAAACTTACCATATTATATCCGGAGATCACTGAATGAAGTGGTAACTAAGCATTAAGGTGAAAAACTTTTTACAATTAAAGTGGTGGATAATTTACAGGCGAAATTGGTGACTGACAGTCACCTCTCGAGTGGTTGAATTGTTTTGTTGATTTGTTTGATCCGATAACTTCATTTCTAAAAGAAAAGGAAATAACCTATTCAGAATTAGACGAGTTGTTACAAGACTTTTTAATGTTTTTCACTGATGTCATGGAGCATTTGCAAACACTGAATTTACAATTGCAGGGGAAAGATAAAATAATATCTGACCTTTCACAGTGTATATTTAGTTTTCAAACTAAATTATAATTTTTTCAAAAGGACATTAAAAATAAAACATTTTGTCATTTTCCTCGAATTAAAAAAATTTGTTCCAATATTAAACACGAAAAATTCAACGAGTATATAAAAAAGGTAGAAGAAATATTGACGGAATTCCAAAATAGATTTCTAGACTTAAAATATTTTAAGTCTATTAATTTTTTTCTAAATCCATTGGAAATTAACATAATTTAAGGTGAGTTTTCCATTCCCAATATAATTATGACCCAAAAAGCATCTGGAGAACTAAAAAATAGAGATGCAAGAAAATCAAGCTCTACAATTAAAATATAGGTCGACGTCAATTACTGAATTTTGGAAATATGTACCAGAATCGAAGAATCCTGAATTAAAAAAGGCTGCTTGTCGAATTATTTCAGTATTCGGAACAACGTACTTATGTGAATCATTTTATTCCACTTTAAAATTCGTGAAATCCAAACACCGATCAGTTTAGTATTAACTAACCAGCATCTCAAAGAATTACTGAGAAGTGCTGTCACCAATTATTCATGTAAAAAAAAAAATTTCATACCTCTTAAATGCGTATTAATTGCGGCTCGCGAAAAATTTCAAATTTTGGAAAATGGCTTGACTATCAAGGAGCTTGGCCACCCCTGCAATATAATTAATTTATAGCTGAAACTAATATCGAGACACATTTGTAAAAAGATATTTTTCTCCATTCTCAAAATCGTGTTGGATTTGTTTGACAATAGATTTCGAATCATTTTAAGGGAAAATTATTTTTATCAAAATACTTGAAGTTATCATTAAAAAATGGGTCCTCTCCCTTGATCGTATACCAATAAAATCACGAAAGATATTCTGTTTTTCTAAGTGTCATTACATACCAATGCACTTTCTTACGTTAAAAGGTTCTCAGACAAAAACGATATTGCTAAAATGTCGACGAACATCACTAATGCTGAAAGGACGAAATCGTAAAATGCATGAGAAAGTTCATATCAAGAAAGTGCTGCACTCTGTGTACAGTCCTAAAAATCACCCTGAATAACTTTCGTTCTAATGGTCGGATTTTCACGAATTAAGTGTCAATCTTAATGGTTCCTGGGGGTGACCTCAAATATATAATAATTAATTAGTGTTAACTATAAATTAAGTTACGAAATCAGACAAAAAAACGTACTTTCTCAGAATAAACATATATTTTTTTAACATATTTGGATACTTAACCTTCAAAAAATTGGGAGTAGCCGCAATCTGGGAAATGTGGTCCCCATAGTTTGGTCAGGAGAGCGATCCAAAGTTCGGACCTCAGTTATAAAACGTTTCGGAAAATTGTCCTCAGTTATAAAACCCATTAATCAAAGATCATTTCATGCAAAAAATAATTTAATAATTATTTATTATTTAATTTCATTGTGGATGAAAAAATTTTAAATAATGAGGTATAAATTTTTTTATATCGTATTAATGTACGTATTTTTCTATATCAAAATCTAAAGTTTCAACAGTTCCTATATCATAGAAGCCGAGAAAAATTAAAATGAATTATTTTTAAAAAAATAATTTGGTGACCATGAAGAAATATGTAAATGCTGCAATTAATCTTTAAATGGCCGATATCAGCTTTTTTTATTTTAACTGTTTGTTTGTTCTTTTAATAATTTATACATTTCAATAATATACCAAAGTATGCATAGATTTGCAATATTATGTTTACCAATTTTTTCAATATCTATTATATAATTATTAATACGAATGCGTAGTCAACATTTTTAAGCATCTTAAAACTTCTTTACATCTCATATATCGCCTTAATCTTAAAATAAATTTGCAAATTACCTGTCTGCGCGTTTTTCGCAAAATTATTTTTCTAACTTTTTAATTAAATTTTAACGTTTCTCAGAATCTTATTTAATATGCTGCCATTTATACATTATTTTTCCATTAATATACTAATTAATTGTTTTAGTATTTTAATTTATGTTTTCCTTCAATATAAAATTACCTTTTAAATTATTGTTAAGTTTTTATTGAAAGAAAACTTAGAATTATTGCCAGCTAGCTGAGAATTAAGTCTTGTTGAGAAATTAAAAATACTCTACTGATCAATATCATTCGATGCAGAACAGCTGACTAATTACTAAGCATACTATTGTTTTCGAAAAATGAAGATAAATTATTGATTTTCTTTTCTTTTTATTGTTTCTTATTTATTTGAGTAATGAAAAGTAAATGCTTATGTGTGCACAGCAAAAAAATACAACAGATGATTTTGTTTTTTTAAATAAACAAAACACCATGGACATACAATTTTATTTTGAAGTTCAAAGTTATTCTTGCCCGCTAACTTAAAGAAAGCTACCCTTATCTTTCAAAAAGTTGAAATTATCTGCTTAAAAAGTTTTTTATATTATTTCTCAACGTTTGCACAGTTCAAAAAAATTCCTACATCAGGAAAAAGTTCAATATGCATTGTTTTGTTAAACAACTACTAAAATAAAAAATTGTAAAAAGATTCGAAAAACGAGCTATTTTTAGAATCATCATCTCAAAAATTTTTATATTTCTAACATTAGGATTTTTTCTACTTAAATAATAATAGTTTTAATACGCGTTTTGAAGAAATAATGAATACAAATTTGGATCTAATATTTCGTAATAAGGAAACAAGAATATTAATATTTCATTGATAATTGCTTCATTGCACCGAAGTAGTTCATTCTTTTCGAAACAATCGGACTTTCAACTATTTAACTTTGATTCTTTAAACTAGGGGTCATTTCATACATGTCATTCGACTTTAAAATTTCAAAAATAAAATACAAAAATTACAAGAATGCGCAAGCCGGCTTTAATTAATAATAAAAAACGGACAAAATCGTCAGCAAAAGAAGTTATCTTATGAAAAGAATGTCAGAGTTAAAAACTGTAACAAGTGTTACTCTTGTTTAATTTGGGGTATTATGAACCTAAATTTTCCCTTCTTTTAATTTTTAAAATATTTTTTAAATAAACTAACGAAATGAATGTGCAAATAATATCCATTCGGTTTACTAGAAACCAAGTTTAATTAGTATCATTCGCAAATCATATGAAGAGCAAATTCTTGAGCTCAGGCGTAAGATGCATGATCAGTAGTTTCATGAGTGAACTCTTATATTAGAAGGCAGCTAACTTCTTTAAAAATTCTAATTCGGAAAAATACTTGTTATTTTAAAAATGTTATAAGGCATGTGTATTTTTTAAATTATTATTTATATAATTTTCCCATTATCCATTAGTTTTCCCTTGATGAAGAAAAAACGAAGACCCTAGTAAGCAGCTGAAAACTAAATCATTATGAATTATTATTATCTTTTAACTTTTTGAATTCTTTAACCTTGCTATTTAAACTCCATGATCCGCTGTAATATATTTTTGTTTGAGTAAAAATATTGAAATTTTTTATATTTGTTTCAATTAACATACATCATAGTTCAAGAAATTAACATTTTTGAAGATTTGAACTCATTTTTTCAAAGAGCAAATTTCTAACAATACTTTGGCGAATCATAAAAAAATAATTTAGCACAATTTCTGAGTTAGTTTACCCCAGCAATTTAAAATTCGATGATAAAATTGATTAGTTTTTGCCAAAAGAGACTTAAAATGAAAGTGAAATAAAAGAACTGATAGGAAAGAATACATAAAAGTTTGCTACACTACACTAAATGAATTATTTATATTAAATAATCAAATATAAATTTACAAAATATTTATTTGTTTTATATAATTTTTACCTTTAAAAATGAGAAGTTTTATGGCATTCAGCTAATTTATGTTTTACAATATTTGCAATGTTCAAAAGGTATCCACTTAAATCCTATAGGAAGGAATTCAAACATTTTGATGCTATTTATAGTTTTATATTAATTAAGTCACAGATTATTTAACCAAAGAATGTCACTGACTTATTGATCAAAAAGTTAAATTATTGATTTAACTCAGTAAAACTTAAAAGAGTTATCTACCACATACGCATTAAGTCTCAGATAATTTCTTTTATTAAACATTTTTACCTTATATAAAACGGTGGGCAGAATAGTTCCTACCAACAACAATAATTTTTAAATATTGCCGCTAAGCTATTTTTTCACCTATAATTTCTGCGACCATCTTCCAATAATTTCAGAAAATAAAAAAAATACCAATGAAAGGATTTGTTTACATAAATGCTGCAAATAGTTAAGGGTAGAGGGGTCACATTATCTTCTCCAATTCAACAATTAAAACTAGTAAAATTATAATTAAAATTGGCAAATCTCTAAATAATCTACAACTGCAAAATACAACGATAAACTCTAAGTAAAATTTACTTTGTAATTTACAAGAGACCGTAAGGCGTTGACTCCAACTTTTGACGAATTTTAATTTTTTCAAGAATTTGAAACTCTTTTTTTTATTTGACCTTTCATTTAAAAAGTCAAGAATCTAGTCCTTAATAAATTAAGAACACTGTGGTATCAGTATCGATTGTAATTATAAAGTTATCATTAAATTTAAAATTAAATTTTTGAAATGAAATATTGAATGTTGTGGTGAATATAAACACAATAAGATACATCTTTTTAGGCCATACGCTATCGTATCAGATGTCGGTAGTGATGGTGAGAATAGTAAAATAAGTTTTTAAATAAAGGAATAAAACAAAGAAATTTTAGTAACTATATTTGATGATATATAAGTAACTGATCGCAATCGAAGATCTTAGGGAAAAAACATGCTTGCAAAAGTCAGTTTCGGAATGAATACATAAGGATGCTATTTGCAAATCCTACTTATTCAAGAAAACCATGTAACCTAAATATTTGTCAGAATGTGACCTTTAACAATAAAATAAAAATATAATAAAATTTACTCCTCTTATACTACTACTATATATATATANCTGCGAAAACATTTTTAAATCATTCTTGAAAAATATCCGTCCATGTAAGTTGAACTGATTTTGCTGCTCGCTTTATAGTCTCCCCTTTTTAATGTTTTTTCTTTTTATTTTATTTTATTATCTGTTTTTACATGTTATTTTTACTTATTTGTACTTTTTGTGATCTTTTTCATTTGTTGTTATTTTTTAAAAAAATTTTTCGAGTGCTCCTCACACTATTGTATTAATTTATTTAGCTTTGGCTTTATTGATACAATATCAGAAAGCACTCTGTTTTGCGGATATAATCGTGTGGGCTGAAGAAAAGATTATATCCTTTTTTTCCGGTTTTTTAATTAACATTTCATGATTTTTGATTTTTTTAATTTTTTTTATTTATTATTATTTTTAATAAACTGTTGTTTTTATTTTTTACTTATTATTTCCCCCCCCTTTTTCATATGTCTTTTATTTTTCTTTGTTTTATTCTTCGTTATGAACTTTATATATATATATATATATATATATATATGTGTGTGTGTGTGTGTATATTTATTTCAATTTTATCGAAAAAAATACCGTGAATTTTATAAAACCTTCTGATTGCACATCAGAATTGAGCCCCAAATTTTTTACAGGATCTCTTTTTTTCTTTTCCTTGCCTGAAGGACTTGAACTGAGGTGTATAAGCAATTAGCCCTACAACTCTTCATAAATTTATAATAACTTATGTAAATTTGGTTTTAGTACAACATTTTTATACAAATAACATGTTTAAAAAAATAAAAAAATGTCAGATAGTAAGTTCAACGTTCAAATGTTGAAATATTGGAAAATCAAAAATATTTTCATTTTCATTTCTTCATTTTAAATTCAAATTTTATTTTCAAAGTATTAAAAAGAATACTATTTTCTTTGCCCGGAAAGCAGATCAAAAAATTCTCGTCTTGGTTGCCTATAGCAACAAAAACACATGATGATTGTTTTAAATTGTTTCACTTTCTATGGCGAGGTAATTTGGCATTATAATAAACTTTCGCCCTATTTATAAATCTTTATTGCGACCCAATTTTTTAGAAATTTTGTCTACCCCCCTCCCCTATTTCAAGGGTCAGGAATCCAAATATGTAAAAAAAATATATTTTTATTCAGAGAAAGTACGTTTTTGCGTCTGATTTCTTAACTTAATTAATAGTTAGCACTAATTAATTAGCATATTTGAGGTCACCCCCAGGAACCATCAAGATTGACACTTAGTTTGTGAAAATCCGCCCATTAAAACAAAAGTTATTCAGGGTGATTTTTTTTGAGGACTGTACATACGTTGAAATTTTTCGGCTTTAAAAATCAATAAAAAAATTCAGCGTAGAGAATACCTGGCAATGGCTCGGAAATGAAGATAGATTATGAGAAATACCCTCCCCGTTTTATTATTTCCCACGAACCTTGTTTTATCTCTCTCTGACTCGGTTATTGTAAATAAGAAAAAATAAATTCTACTAACTTTTGTATTTTGTACTTTTCACACCTGAACCTTTTTATTAAGAAAATGTATTTGAAAAATAATAATATTCCAAGAAAAATCAAAATTACAAAATTTATTTACACAAATATGTACAAATTAATAAAACAAAATCGACTAGATAAGTCCAAAAGGACCATAATGAAGAAACCAAAAAATATGCAGACATTGAAAATTAATTGGATAACGAAAAAGGAATTTAAAATAATCAAAATGTTGATTTCACTTGTAACAAAATTCAAATCAAAATATTCATTTATCTAAAATTCCATTCGCATGCATTCAGTCCTTCACTAAACAAAAGAGGAAATAAAACATTATCAAATATCGAGGAAACAAACCTTTAAATCAATAGAACTACTATGGTACACATATTTTTAAGAATAGGCTGTAAAATTTCGCATACTTTTACTTAACTATAGTTAGATAATTTATTCACAGTGATTATATTTTAGTTTATTAATCTTGTGCTTTAAGATAATAAATAATAATTTAAAAACACGTTAGAATTCATGCAATTTAATCCTTAATTATCTGTACAAAATTTTCAAATTCAGTTAATAAATGTAGAATTTAAAAAAAATTAAATTACTATCCTACTATTTAATTGTAATCATTTGGCTGATCGTAATAGGTTACAATCTATAAGTCTTCTTCTTGGAAGAGTTTGACAGCCTTCTAAAATCTAAATACAAGTCCCTCTCGTCGATTTGATCTTAAATCAAGTCAAAAGAAGGAATTTTAATACACATAAAACACGCTTAAAACGTTATTACATGCTGGTATTTTAGTACATTTCATTTGTACAACAAATACGTCTTTTATTTCAAATAAAATACTTTTTAATCTAAAAAATGATTAAATATAACTTAAAAAATTGTTTTCAAAAAAAGATATGAATTAGAAGAGTTTTGAGAACAACATTATTGATAAAAAAAATCTTCTTACAATTGCTTTCATAGCTAAGAATACAAAGCATCAATAACTCAATGAAAAAAGTTTATCTTAAAATAACTGAAAAATACCCAAACGTAAAGGTGTTGGAAGTTTCAAAAGAAAACATTAGAGAGTTAACATAAAAAACTGCCCAGCAGCACTTTTAACAATGTTTTTACATTTAATTACAATAATTTCATTTAGTTCAAATTTTACGTCAACTGAAATCTTATACGTCATAGTCTGTGTAAATTCAGAGACGATTTTTTTAAAACAATTTAGTTTTATAGGTTTTCTTTTAAACAAAAAATGCTTGGTTTGAAAGAAACTAATATCGTTAAAATGCACAGAGTGTTTCGCATTCACTTCCCTTAACATATATTTTTAGAATTCTAGTTACATTGTATAGCATTATAGGGTATAACATTAGGGGTCGCAAATCAATATTTAAACAAAAGGAAACACAAAAACGCAATTAATACTTGTCAAACCACAAGTGAGAAAAGCGGAGTTAAAATAATGTTTGATTCCACAAGGAAACTGAGATGGTTTAAGAGGAGATTATTGGAAACACTTTCAAATTTCAACCCACAATCAAAAAAAAAAATTTATACCCGCTTTCCACATTTTTGTTCTTTTAAATATTGTTTTGTGACCCTTAATGCTTGTACTTCTTAACTTCATTTTCGACAGGGAGTCTAAAAATATATATTAAGTGCGATATTTAAGGAACACTCTGCATTTGAGTTTCAAGAATCCAGACTGTTTTCTTGATTGAAGGGAACATAGTCTTACACGAACTGTGCCTTTTACACAGATTATAGCATCGCCAGATACATACATAACAATAAATGACTTATTATAATCAGTTTATGGCATACGCAGAAGAAATATTTACAAAGGATCACTTATGATAATATTATCTGTATAATATGTTTGTTATGTAGCTAGATTCCAGAGGATCTTTTGAATTCCTTCTTCTAAAAGGGTTCCAACTACCCCTTTTGTCACAATCTCTACCATTCACACTTCCAACCTAAAGGGAGAGTAAAAGAATAATTAAGGGAGAAAAAATCGAAGATGTCGACAAATTATTATGTGTTTTATAAACTTTTTTTTCGCTTATAAGCTGATTCAAGTCGCTATTTCGTCAAGTCACTGATTCTCTCATTCGCCAATATATCAATTCATGGATTCACTAAATTGTATACTTTCTCTCCTTTGATTTTATTTCTTGTTTTATAAAAAACCATTCACACCGTTGATAAACTTTAGGTAGTCTATAAAACGAGAACAATTGTAAAGTATCTTTCTCCTTTCTTTCTTCTATCTCTTTTTTTTTTCGAAACGAAATCGGTGCAATAGTTAGAGTCATGAAATTTCAAAATATTTGCACTTTCAAATAATTTTCATTTCAAATCCCAAACTGGTTGACAAATACAGTTGATCAAAACAATCATTAATTTGAAAATAAAAATACTTTTACTATATTAGGCATAAATAATATAACATAAGTAAATAAATTTTATAAATATCTAATAATTCAAATAGTTTATAGTTTAATATCTAATAGTTTATAGATAGTTATAAAATAAATTTTATAAATATCTACAAATATTACGTAAACGATAGCGAAAAATAACGAAACTATATTGATAAATTGATAACATATTTATAAAAAGTAGACTTTCAGGAAATTAGTTGGGCAAATGTAGTGTCGGGCAATCCTGTTGTAAAGGAAAATGAATACTTGTCGAGTAAACATGTCTGTTGTACAATAAGTTATCTAGCTAACGCAACTGTCTGGCATAAGAGTTGTTGACGGAAACAGTCGGTTGTCGGTTGAGTGGCTAACGTCCTAACAAAACCCAAGTCGAAATTCTTGATGGTCTCATCACAAAGTTTTCGATGGCTTATGTTGGTTTCAGTGCGATTCATGATGATCAGTTGATGATCATCATCATCCAGCATTTTCCATTATGAGTTCATGCTTTTTTGATATACCAACAAACTGCAATCATTCCATGATGGAAAATGCTACTTTAATACGGTTAACCATCAAGATAAGTTTGATTCTCCTGGACCAACAATCCATGATGGTTTAATGGGATTATTTGTTGATTCTCAGGAATAAACCATCAAAACAATTTGATATTTTAATTCGGCGGATCATTATAAATCAGTCCGAATTCCTACATTAGGATGATGGTTGTTCATGATGGCTCAAACATTGGATTTCTAAGATGGAAATTCGTGATGGCTCATAATGGTACAGCAATGCATTTCCATGATGGTTGAATAATAATTCTTGATGGTTCAGCAGGAATATACAATCATTTTTTTATGATGACTCATCATAAATCAGCCTGAATTCCTACACCGAGGTGATGGTGGTTCATGATCGTTCCAAATTTTGATTTCTAAGAAATTATGATGGAAACTTCTGATGGTTCGACATGAACAAACCATCAAAATAAACAAACCATCAATCAGAATTACTACTTTGGGGGTGATGGTTACTTATCATCAAAAAGTATAATGGTTTATGATGAAATTATTGATGGTTACCATAAAAAAAATGGACTTGATTTAGTATCTACTTACTGGACTAGGATTGCGACTTGAAGAAGAACTGAAACCAGAACTACTAGATGATGTTGATTTTGAGCAAATAGACATTCCAGCTGCTCCCCTAGAGTGTAAATACTTCCAGTTCATGGGCGTCACAACTTTGAGAGTGATGGTGTTGCCAGCATTCCTTATCAATTCTGCCATTTCTTCATGCGTCGTCCATTTCGTGTCCTCATCATTCACTGCTGTGATATAATCTCCTTCCTTCAGTCCACAACCCTATTTCAAAGGAAATTTTAAAAAATGTTACAAAGAACATTTTTGAAAAAAGAAAAGACATTTCTCGGAAAAGAGACGCCAGCTCAACTGCACAATATTCATTTATTTCACCAAGTTTTTTGAAATTCGCAAATTTTAATGATAGAAAGTAAGTGTTAAGAGGGCGCTATTTGGCCATTACCTCGGGTGGAAATTTTCATGACAAATTCTGTTTAACCTCCATTGTTATTTTAGAGAAAAGTGAGTTCATATAAACTTAGAGTAAACCACGAAGAAGCATTGCGGGGAAGAAAGAGAATTCTCGAGAAGAGCAAGGCCCACCCGGGCCGTCACGCAAAAGATGATGCACCCACGAAGTTTTAAATGTTGAAAAAAGGTTTTCAAAATATCACAATGATAACAATTTATTGCATAATTATTTCCCTACAGCGCAATCTTACCATAATATGTTTTCAGTTTGATATTTTGAATTTTTTTCTACATTTCAAATTTAATGACTTACTCAGGATTTAGCTTTTTTCTCAACTGTAAATTTGAAATCATTTATGTAGATGAAAATTCATTTGCCGAGAAGGGTATCTCCCTCGGTATAGCGCTCTCTCTGGTCGCAGAATATACTAGGTGAATCTGAGGATGGGATAGCTTGGTTGGTAGGACGCTGGACTCGTGTTCGGGAGAACGAGAGTTTAAATCCCACTGGCCGAAGGTCTCCCGCGTTTTAAATGGTGACTGGTTTTTGTGAAATTTTTCGGGGTCACAAAGTCGTTCAAGTTCCCATAACAAATCAATACCTCTGGGAGTACTGAATTGGAGATTGATCATTCTCTGGTTCTGGTCAAAATTGCGAAATGTGTATGAGAATACATTCGCCCTGTAAAACGGGATGTGACGTGTGTGTGGCTGAAGAAGCATTCTTGGCCATACATAGAGCCACTGAAAAACAAGAAACGCACCCTTTGCCTTATAATCGCTTGGATTCCCATTGCAAGCTTGTTGGTATTGGTAAGTGGCATTAGTAACAACAACAACTAGGTGAATCTGCAGCATTGCCTTAAATCCACATTTAGCAACTTCAACACAATCAGAAAGAGGTTATTGTTACAAAAATTCAGCTTAAACGAACATATGTATAGCAAAATTTACGTGCATAAGGTCCTTATCAAAACTTTTAAATTTAAGTTTAATTTTATGAATGAGTGAAATGGAATAAAATTGTAAGCCCCTATCTATTCTAAAAGATTGACTAAGGAATCGGCCTATTCAAAACATCGGGGACAGAACTCTCGTCTTCCAATCAATGGCCCTTCGTTCGAATCCCGACGATAACTATAGTCTCGTATATTGCTCTCGATTAGCACAGATAACGAAGCTATGGAAAAATATCCCAGTGGGTTATTCCAATCCCATCATGGATTAAAGTTTCCTTGATGTCGGATTAACTATCAAGGTTTACGTTTTTTGAGGTTTTCCTCTCCACGTAACGGAACTGGGGATCATTTTCACCCAAAAATCATAAAACTTGACCTGGTAGTGCTCTTATCTTCTGGATTTGGTTTGATACTACAAGGGTCGAACATTGGTAGAGTCGCATATCTAAGGATCGCCTGTTTAACGCTGGTTATAAAACAAAATAACAAATAGCTTTATGGTCTGTCTAATTCATACCATTAGGCTAATTTCTAGTTTCGAAATGAGACAAAAAATAAATAAAACAAAGCTACCACATAATTCCACTTTCATTTACAAGTGTTTTTTCTGTATGTTTATTTCACGCAAAGTAATTATTTTAAAAATTACTTTTCAAAATTTAAAAAAAAAATTTTTTTGATATAGGATTCGCGATTCGAATTGAAATTAATTAAGGAAATCTGAAATCCCCCCCCCCAATAAGATTTGTAACTTAATTTATTTGAATTATTAAAATTATGTTTTGAGCACTCTTGATTTGGAATATTCTTGTAGGCAAGCATAACCATCAGAAATTTAGCATTATGTATATTTTTAACCCTTTATAATAAGTCATCTATTTCACAGCTACAGTTTTAACAGCTACAGTTTTAACAGCTATAGTTTTATACTATAGCTGTTTATAAAATATTAATATTACGATATTATTTATTAAATATTAATATTATGGTTAGAACTAATAAAATACGAAAGACAATTACAAAAGATGTATAAAATGTACAAAGTAAAAATAACTTTTAGAAACGTAAATTTGAAATAATAATGTACCTCTGCAATGCCACCAATTTCAACTCTTGTCACAACAACTGGTGAGTTATCCTTAACACTGAACCCAAATGTTGAATCATCACTTGATTTTTTAAGTTCCACTATTCGTGCGGCAGTCCAATGTCTCTTGGCAGAGAAAAACTTTAAAGGTCCCTATGAAACAATAATAGCATATTTCAAGTACAACTAAAGTATAATAAAAACGAATTCAAGTGTGATAACAAAACAATTCAAGTATAACAAAATAGAATATGCAAGGTTGCCACAGAAAAAAATGAAGAAAATAGTTGCTTTTAGTAGCCAACTGCATGAACGTTAGTATTCTGGCCCTACATTTTTGTGTCATTAGTATATTTGCAGAAAATTAAATACTTTTAATGACTAGAATTCATTCAGAAAAATAATTTTTCTAAAAAATTTAACCTTTTATCAATAATTGATTTAGCATAAAATCATGCAGAATTAGCATAAAATCATGCGGAATTTTGTAGCAAAAACTGTTGAAAAGGTAATCGAGAAACAAAGTAAACTTACATGGGAATCAGTGCAAATTGAGAGCATTAAAAATGAATGTTTCAAATTTGCAATTCAAAATTTTCATTCAAAATTTTTATTTTTTCAAGAAATAAAATTGTGGAAAAAAATCATCGTGTTCAGAAGCTTCTGCGGGCCGCAGGTTGTCAACCCAATTTAAGCTAAAAACGTCGTTAGGAGTTAAGAAAAGTCTCCCAATAGTCTCCTTTTCATGAAAAAAGTTGTTTTTTTAGCCTTTTCAGGCAAACAAGAAGTTGCGATAGTGGCCTCAGGTTGAAAATAGTTGCAAATAGTCGCATTTTAGTCACTTGTGGCTACCCTGAATATGTTTATCTGCCACGTATCTCTGATATTTATTTTTTATTTCCTATGAGCTGCACAATCAGTCTTCCCGTTGAGCAGATCTAGTGCGTTCTCCAGAAGTGGTATCCACTCTTTCAGGACCACCACAACGGGTGAGATACCGTTGGCCATGTTAATTTGGACGTCTGGTTTCAGCCACATCTCTGACATACAATAAATAAAATAAATACGTAAAAGTGACACATTGAATCTTTTGATCAAATGATAGCATTTTCATTTATAAAAATGATATATGAATGAATGATTTTAAGTACGCTTATTAATTAGTAATGTCATGAATTAAGTTTTGCTAAAACACTCAAAAGTATTTTTTTTCCTGAAATATCCTTTCTTTTCGAATATTGTATAATTTAAAATCTCAAAATGGAAAGAGGTCGAAAATTTGGTTCTTTTAATATTATTTAATCTTTTAAGTTTCTGTCATATTTCTAGAGAAATATTAGGATGTAAAAATTTTTATATTATAATATAAATTTTTTTTCGTTAATTATTAAATTAAATAAACAAAAAATCATACATTAAATAACCGAGAGCAGAAAATTTAATTTTAAAAGAAAAATATGTATCGATATTATTGAAAACATCTACTAGTATGAACAATACTTACCAGTGCTTTAAATAAGTCGACTGCTTTGTGTTGATTAAAGTCAGGATCCGTCAACTTCAGTTGGAATTTTGTCGAAGCTGAAAAAAAAATATAATGTTTATGATTTTTACAGTGTAAAAAGTTTTGCTCAGTACGTGCAGTAAAAATATTTTCTTTCATAATTACCTCTTATTGCTGGTGGTTCAAAGACATCTTGGAACTGGTCAACATCGTCAATAAGTTTTGAGAGAAGTGTGAGGGATTTCTCGTTAGTTTTCTGTAGAAGATCATAAAGACTGTCAATTAATTGCAGCTGTCGGCACATTCTGTACGTCCTCAGGGCTTCTTCGTGCGTTGTAATGCTATGGTGTAAATGTGCACGACCTGAACAGTAAAAAATAATATATATAATTAAATTGCAAGAGAAGGCATCTTAAACCATCATCTAATATTCGTCCAAAGTTTTATAAATCATTTTACAAATCAATCTTGATAAATTCAAAAAGCTAACTCAACACGTTAAATTATGCAAATAAGTTAATAAGAAAATAAAATTGTGGCATTTAAGCATTAAAAAATTACTAAGCATCTGTTAAGCTGGAACACTCACGTAAAACACAACTGCAAAATTTCAGAAAAAAATAATCTTTTTTTCCCCCACCCAATTTCACATCATAAGCTCAGTTGACAAGATCGTCACAAAAGTATATGTTGCAACAACAAAAAAATTGATGACATGTATTATTAAATCGTGTATCATTAAAACATTATTTTCTGAAATAACATCACATAAATATATTTCAAAGCATATAGAAATTGTTACATCTTACATTAAAAAAATACTTCATGTAATATCAGAACGTTATATTATCTTCAATATAACATCACACAAAAACTTATTGTGTCAAAAGTTTATGTATCCAAAATAATATCACGGAATCAAAATTCAGAGTTATTTGAAATTGTTACAACTTTTCATAAGATCAAAAAAGCCTCTCAAAATTAAAAAAAAATTTAAAAAAAAAAAATAAATAAAAAAAAAAAGAAGAAATCATTCCAAAAAATTTCCGTGTGCAACTTAAATGTTAAATTTCCGAACATAAAGTCATTTTTGTAAAATTAAAATTACTTCCAAAACCTTAAAAAGATATCATTTTTCAAGATATCAACTTCACTGAAGTATTTAAAAGAACACANTTACATCTTACATTAAAAAAATACTGTAACTGTACATGTAATATCAGAAAGTTATATTATCTTCACTATAACATCACACAAAAACGTATTATGTCAAAAGTTTATATATCCAAAATAATATCACGGAATCAAAATTCAGAGTAATTTGAAATTATTATAACTTTTCATAAGATCAAAAAAGCTTCTCAAAATTAAAAAAATTAAAATAAAAAATAAAAAAAGAAGAAGAAATCATTCCAAAACATTTCCGTGTACAACTTAAATGTTAAATTTCTGAACATAAAGTCATTTTTGTAAAATTAAAATTACTTCCAAAACCTTAAAAAGATATCATTTTTCAAGATATCAACTTCACTGAAGTATTTAAAAGAACACACCCCGAAAACTTTCGTGATAACATATTTAAATTACGATTGCTCATTTATTTATTATTTTTGTTTATTTATTTTGTTACACTTCAAAGTGCTTACCTAATCGAAGCCTTTCATTGGCATTACGGGGAGTACGTATGGCATCTTTACGATCATTAGATTTAATTTCAATATGAAGATGTTCAAGCTTTTCTTGCGCATTTGTATTGAAATCCTCTAAAAAAAACCACACAATACTTTATCAGTAACAACGAATGGCATTGTCAATCAATTGAAACCAATGCAATTAAATAATCTTACCACCATATGAAATGAGAGCAAGGGCAACATAATAATGAGATTGAGAGGAATAATGTTCTGTTTTCACATGCATCAGGCCGCCCCAAGAATTAGGTACACAGTCTTTAATGGCAGTAGAACTTAGAAGAGTATATAACTGTCTGTATACTTCGGAAACCTAAATGTTTTTATAAAAATAAAAATTATAATTCTATTGAATAGAACAAAATGAAACACGTGTTGTGCAAACATGCTCAGAAGTTATGCATCGCATAATGCTTACTATATATGCATTAGGCATGCATTGTGTTATTTATGTATATATATATATATGTATTAATGAAAACATTAAAATTTTTTTCATAATATGTCTTTGGGTCTTTGGTAAAGAATAGGTGTAGAGATACTCTATTTTGGGACTTCAGGGCTGAAAACATACCATTGAATTATAATTAGATTTATATTTCAAAGAAGGAGTTATTTTTAGAATCTTGTCCCTCTTTCNAAAAATTATAAATACTTTTGTATTAATGAAAACATTAAAACTCTTTTCATAAAATGTCTTTGGTAAAGAATAGGTGTAGAGATACTCTATTTTGGAACTTCAAGGTTGAAAACATACCAATGAATAATAATTAGATTCATATTTCAAAGGAGTTATTTTTAGAATCTTTCCCTCTTTCATTTCCATATTAGGAAGCATTACATGATTTTCCTTAATGCGTAGGATTTCAAGGTATGCGACGATTGAGACTTTTCACCTCATTTTCTGTCAGTATTTAAAGCAGGAGCGATTGTTTTTGTGTGACTCTTGCTTATGATGTGTTCCATGTAAGATCTGCTGGAGCCATCCGGAGTTTTGTCTACCCCCTCCCTTGCGGAGAGTAAATGTGAAATGTTATAGCCACCAGCCTACCCGTAAATAAAACTAATGAAGGAATAATTGGTGCACGATTGAATTATTTGAGCTAAGCATTACCAATGATAACAGGGATGCAGCCCTGCTATTACAAGCCTAGCAGGATTTGCTTTGCGGAGGAAACCTTTTGAAGAAAACCGGTGTTAATACATTTGAATCTTAGGCCTATCGTCTGGCTGGCTGCAATGTTGAAGTTTCCCTATCCCCATCGCACACGTCGGGAGAAAAAATCGCTTAATCGGTGAAGGAGGAAATCACACCCCGTCTTTTCCACTACCTGTACCTTCGTCGAGTATAAATCATGAAGGTTAAAGAAAAGTGTTGGCAAAGTAAAGGAAGAGTATACTGTAGATATATGTTTTTTTTTCTCATATTTTTCTTTCTGACTCTTATGATTAAATATTTTATTGACATTAGCTATGAGTAGTGATCTGAAATTTTCATTATGAGATTTAATCAATAGAATATTATCAGGGGTCTGTCTAGGTTTTTCTGAAAGGTACCTATTTTGTGAAAATTTAGACATAATTTGTGAAAAATTAAAAATTATATTAAAAAATCAATACAAAAACATGGTAAAAATATAGATTTATCGTTTCTTAAGGGATACAAAAATAAAATTTTAAGAAAAAGTATTTTGTGAAACTACCGTTTTTCCTAAAGTTGAATTTGTGAAACTACCGTTTTACCTAAAATTGAATTTGTGAAGGTACCGCGAAACGGTAGTAAATTCGGCCTGGACGGACCCCTGATTATTAATGGTTGAATTGCATTTCGCATGATTATCTTATATAATAATATAATATTGTTACTTATAGTGCATTTAAAATGTTTTTGAAATAAATAAATGTGGTTCAAACGTCTATTAAACTAGTGACGGCAAATGAAATTAAGTCATTATTCAAACTTTTATTTCCTAATGATTTTTCACGGTTAAATCGTAATAAAAGACTAAATTTTTCAGAATTTTCTTTTGAACCTAACAATGAAGAATTTTCAAACGAACTTAAAGAAATTTGTAACACTTTTAATTTTTCGGAATCAGTCAAAATTACAGACATTCTAAAAGATTTCCAGTGAGGGAAATTAAAATGAAATTTCAAAACATATTTGAACTTGTTTATGAGATTTTAATTATTTAAAAAAATTCTATAGTAATTGAAAATCCCTCTGAAGATGACGATGAAATTAGTCAGTTTGAATGTAAACAAACTCAAACTGATTTTGAACCACATTTACCAATTAAAACTTGTGTAAATCAATTTACGCAAGTTAATTTAAGTTCTGCCTGTACTAAAGGTTGTATTAATAAAGATATGGTATCCTATAATCAAAGTTCTAATAATGATGTAAATAATAGAGAACCATAAACAAAATTAATAGTTAATTTTTCTGACATTGAAGCAGTTACTCCTATGTTTAAAGAAGATACACATGAAAATATTAATTCTTGGTTTGAAAATTTTGAAACTCATGCTAATTTATTTAAACTTTCGGATATGCAAAACTTTCTATTTGCAAAAAGTTGTTTAAAGGGGAATGCATCAACATTAATTAGAAGTGAAACTTGTTTAAATTCACATGAAAAATTAAAAAAATTTCTGCTTGAAGAATTTGGACTTAATTGCAATAGTGCAGAAGTACGTGCAATGTTGCAAAAAAGAAAACAAAGGTAAAATGAAACTCTTCAAGAGTATTTCCTTAAAATGAAAGAAATTGCTACTCNAAAAGTGTTGGCAAAGTAAAGGAAGAGTACACTGTAGATATATTTTTTTTCTCATATTTTTCTTTCTCAATCTTATGATTACATATTTTATTGACATTAGATATGAGTAGTGATCTGAGATTTTCATTATGAGATTTAATCAATAGAATATTATTAATGGTTGAATTGCATTTCGCATGTTTACCTTGCTTTTTTTTAAAAAATTATAATATAATATTGTTACTTATAGTGCATTTAAAATGTTTTTGAAAGAAAGAAATGTGGTTCAAACGTCCATTAAACTAGTGACGGCAAATGATATTAAGTCATTATTCAAACTTTTATTTCCAAATGATTTTTCACGGTTAAATCGTAATAAAAGACTAAATTTTTCAGAATTTTCTTTTGAACCTAACAATCAAGAATTTTCAAACGAACTTAAAGAAATTTGTAACACTTTTAATTTTTCGGAATTAGTCAAAATTACAGACATTCTAAAAGATTTCTAGTGAGGAAAATTAAAAAGAAATTGCAAAACATATTTGAACTAGTTTATGAGATTTTAATTATTTAAAAAATTCTATAGTAATTGAAAATCCCTCTGAAGATGAGGATGAAATTAGTCAGTTTGAATGTAAACAAACTCAAACTGATTTTGAACCACATTTACCAAAACTTGTGTAAATCAATTTACGCAAGTTAATTTAAGTTCTGCCTGTACTAAAGGTTGTATTAATAAAGATATGGTATCCTATAATCAAAGTTCTAATAATGATGTAAATAATAGAGAACCATAAACAAAATTAATAGTTAATTTTTCTGACATTGAAGCAGTTACTCCTATGTTTAAAGAAGATACACATGAAAATATTAATTCTTGGTTTGAAAATTTTGAAACTCATGCTAATTTATTTAAACTTTCGGATATGCAAAACTTTCTATTTGCAAAAAGTTGTTTAAAGGGGAATGCATCAACATTAATTAGAAGTGAAACTTGTTTAAATTCACATGAAAAATTAAAAAAATTTCTGCTTGAAGAATTTGGACTTAATTGCAATAGTGCAGAAGTACGTGCAATGTTGCAAAAAAGAAAACAAAGGTAAAATGAAACTCTTCAAGAGTATTTCCTTAAAATGAAAGAAATTGCTACTCAAAGTGAAATTGATGACTTAGCTCTAATCACTTATATAATTCAAGGAATACCAGACCAAACAAATAATAAATCAATTCTTTATGGAGCCAATAATCTTTCTGAATTTAAACAAAAACTTAAAATTTATGAAAAAAATAAAAAGTGACTTAGACAAAAATAAATTTCAAAATAATAAGGGACCATATATGAAGAAAATAGAAAACCCTAAATATTACATTAAGTGCTTTAAGTGTAATGCACCAGGACATAAAACCCCGGCTTGTCCTAAAAATAAAAATCTAACCCCGAATGTGGCAAAACCCAAAATACATCATACAACATAGGAGAACCCAATAAACCAATGTAAATATTGCTCGATGAAAGGACTTTTGAATCAATTTCACATGGGCTCCTCGTGTGTAAACAACCCTAATAATGTGGTTGAAGTGAACGTCCAAACTATGACAAATAAGCAATAGCAATTAATAATATCCGGATATAAAGTGGAAAATAAATACCTAAATGGATATAAAGTAGAAAATAAATACCAAAAGGGACGTCCAAATCAAAACAAAATAAAAATGAGAATGTAAACAAAGGGATATTATTGAATGTTGATAACGGGTCCACATTGAATATAATACCTAAAGATTTTGTGTCAAGATTAAATATTCCTATTAAAAAATGTGAAGAATTAAATCTTACTCAAACGGAAGGACAATTAACACTTAATAAAATTTGTGAGTTTCCCCTTAAGATAGGAGAAATTGTTAACTCAGCTAAGTATTTTATAATTGATACTGATTTATCATATGCTTTATTAGGGTTGCAAACTTGTAAAGATTTTTGTTTGTTTATTGATTTTGTCGGGCCAGTTGTTACTCAATTTGGTAAGAGACTGATCACCTCTGATAATTCTAACAGTGACAACTTATCTTTGCACATTAGACAGCAAAATTCTCAAAATGTTAAGGTTAAAAATGGTGAAAAAATAAAAGTTAAAGATGTTTCAGTAAAAGTAAACATTGAAAAAAATAATGTAAAGGGTAACAAAAATAAAAAAAAAGGAAAAAATAGGAAAAAGAAAGAATGTCCAAAAATCTCAAATGATTCGAAGATAGATCTAAGTAATGGATTCATACATTATCAGGTCAATATCGACGAAAAAATAAAAAATGAGAGCAAAATAGAAAATGTGAACTTAAAAGAAATTTTAAAAAGTTATGATGATATTTTTGTAAAACATAAACATGATGTGGGAGAAATCAGAATGGAACCAAAGAGAGTCAGCTTAACTTCAGATTCACCTATATCTCTAAGGCCTTAGAAAACATCCCCAAAAAAACAACGAGAAATGGATTTACAGATAGAAGAATTGTTAAAAAGTAACATTACAAAAAAAAGTTCATCCCCTTATGCTGCCCCTGTAACTTTAGTCTTTTAAAAAGATGAAAATAAAAAGAGTCGTTTACGTGTTGACTTTACGAAATTAAATCGAATTACAAAAACAGATTTTGAACCTCTACCTTTTATACAGTCTTTAATTGAAAAATTGTCTAATAGTAGTTATTATTCTAAAATAGATTTATCCATGGGATATCGTTATGATCCTATTCATCCTGATGATACTGAGAAATTAGCATTCACTACTCACAATGGTCTATTTGAATACTTAAGATTACCTTTTGGCTGGAAGAATGCACCAAGCATTTTTCAACGTACAATTCGTAGAATTTTAAATAAACATAAAATTGAATTTGCTACAAACTATTTTGTTGATATCATTATATTTTCTAATTCTTATGATGAACATTTAACCCATCTTAAGAGGATTTTTGATATTTGTAAACAAGAAAACTTGAAATTAAAACTTTCAAAATGTTCATTTTTGCAAAAACAAATAGAATTTTTAGGATATGAAATAAGCAATGGGATTATATCACCCGATAACCATAATATTGAGGTAATTAAAAAATTAATACCCCCTAAAAATGTGAAATCATTGCAAAGATTTCTTGCATCAATAAATGTTTACAGTAAATTTATTGATATTTATGCAAACATTCGGTATCCTTTGAATAACTTGTTAAAGAAAGATGTAAAATGCGTGTGGTCAGAAAAATATCAAGAATCTTTTGAAGTTTCAAAAAATGCTATTATTTGTAAACCAATTTTGAAAATTTTTAATCCTAATCATGTATGTCATCTTTTTGTTGATGCATGGTTAGTTGGTATTGGTTCAGTGTTAAAACAGACAGATGAATGTGGTGTATTGCATCCTGTAGCTTTTCATTCTCATTCCTTAAGGGACTATGAAAAAAACTATGAAATTACAGAACTTTAATGTCTTGTTATAGTAGATTCTTTAAATAAATTCCATCATTACCTGTTTGGCCAAAAATTCATCATACATACTGATCATGCTGCTTTAGTTTGGCTAAAGAATGTTAAAAATTTAAAAAGTAGATTATTTAGATGGTCATTATTGTTAAGTATGTATGAATATGATATTAAATACACAAAAGGTTCTACTAATTTTGAAGCTGATTGGCTTTCGAGAGATGCAACACATTCACTTTTAAAAAATGATAGTAAAAATAATAATGTTCATGTTTCACATTTGTTAAAATTGAGTGAAATAAGCGCAGCTCAAAGGAAAGATAACTTACAAGGTAATTTTGCTGATGTCAATAATGTTTTATGTGTACGTAAGAAAAATTTTACTAAGATAGTTGTTCCATTTTCGTTGAGATTATAACTTCTGCAAATTGCTCATGATAAATTTAACCATCCAGGAATACAGATTTTCATCAAGTAAATAACCCCTTTGACCACACAGAATCTTAAATTCTGATCAAATGACACTTGTTGTCCAGTTCATTCGCATAAAACATTTGTATATTTTTGTGTGAAAAAAGTTTTGAAAATTTTAGTAGAATAGTTATATAAATATATTTCATTTTTCTTTCTGTTTAGTTGACTAAACAGATAAATTGCATTATCATGTTTTAATTTTTGTCATTGTAAATAATTGTTTTTTTTTTACACATAATTGAAAAAATGTTATTTGTGGTAGGGAAAAGGAACAGTCGTACCAACCTAAATTTCAAAAATTTAAAGTATTCTAAATATTATATATATATATATAATNTATATATATATATATGAAAAAACGGAGAAAATTAAGAGAGTTTTATTTACTGCGCATAAGCGTTGCAAGTGTATAAAATGTAGTTAAAAATGTAGAGGAAAATAATAAAGTGTTTTAAAATAAATATTAAAAAGCCGAAAAACAAAATAATGAAAAGATATATTCTCTTCATCAGCTCGCACGATTATATCCGCAAAATTCAGCTTTTAATTTTTTTAAAAAAGTATTTAATTTTTTTCTCTTTTTATTAATTTTTATTATTTTTCATCTCTTCTCTACATTTTTAGCTACATTTTATTATTATTAATTTCGTCAGCATATGTCTTTCCGTTTTGTGCTTGATTTCGTAAACGATTTATTGCTAATTTACTTTCTTTCAACACGCACGAAGATCTTGTATTCAGCTAGTACTAAATAAAGAACATTTGAAAAGCATTAATTACTTATTCGGAATTTCCACAATTTTGACGTGGTGAAACGCTCTAGGGAAGAAAATAAACTTAAATTTTAAAAAATATCTTTTTTCTTCTTCATAGTCATTGCTTTATTGTCTTTATCTATTTTGATATATTTATAAGTATATGAAAAATAAAGATATTTTGTAATATCTGCTTATTATTATTTATTTTTTAAAAAGTCCTTTCGCTACACTGTTGAAACTTTCAAACATCCAATGCACTCGCCTTTACTATGTAAAAAGGCGTCAAATCGATGATGTTCTACAACTTAATAATTCTCTTCTTCCTCATACCTCAAAGACCTAAAGCACTCACTTTTTCTCCAGAAGATATAAAACTTTCAATCGAGTGGAGCTGTAATGCGTAGCCACTCTACTTCACCTAGACATTACCTTAATAACTACAGTTGCAGTTCGAAAGCAATTCATATATCTTTACACTTAGTATATTCTAAAGATGATTTTTCCAAATGATCTAAAATGTCCAAGCTCTTCAATTATAAAGAAGAAGAAAAATTATGATTACCTGAGCCGCTTCTTGAGCAATATCGAGGCACTGTGAAAAATTACGTTTTTCAGTGTCCGAAACAAGTTTCTCAAATAAACACTCTCTTGCTTGAGCCTGAAAAAAAAAGAAAAGAAATCAAACCATCATAAGAAAAAAGTTTCAAAAACTAAGAAGAAAAATAAGAAAGAAAAATTACTGGAATATCATAATAAAGGCAATAAATTTTGACATTAGATATTAACTGGAAAATAATAAAATTTGAAAAATAACTGTAAATTTCTACAGAAAATATATATTTAAGATAAATACAGATTTTTTTTTGTTCTTAATCGTAATACGCGAGCAGCAAAAAATTACCGTTTTTTTTTCCGAACTTAAACTGTGTATTTGATGGTTGTTTTTCAAAAAGCAGTTATTTCCCCTAATCATAAACGGATTAAAACTGTCAATTCAGATATTAGTTTGCCCTGCTGTTTTGCTTACCGTAAGATAACTATTTATATTATCAAATTATTTTACTATTATTTTCTATACTTGCTCTTACTTCTCAGAAACTATTTTATGGTTTTGAGCATCAGATAAATACAATTGCGATTCGACTTCTTCGTTAAATTAATACTACTTTATTATTTATCTACCTTAGATATAATTTTTCGGTCATTTAAATTGACAGACATAATTGCTATAATTGGGTGGGCCACTGTAGTTTTAAATATTTTTACACTCTTAATATGATTTCAATAAGTAAGATTTTTAAGATGAAGACAGTTTAAAATTTTTCTTCATAAACAAACATTTTTTTTTGTTACTGACATTTTTTTGTTGTTGTTAAAATAAGAACTTTTTGTCAAACTGAAAATTTGTTTATTAAAATAATAGTACTTATCTCCTTCAGAAACAGACGTCCGTTTTCGAAGCAACAGAAGACGAAACAACAGTTCCCAGTATTTTACTGTGAAATAAACGATTTTACACTGGCACACCAGCTGACAGATTTTTTTTTCTGCAAATTTAGCAGAAAGATTTTTTTTTTTTTTTTTGCAGTGTAGACGTTTTAGTTAAAGTCTATTTAGTCTTAGTCAAAATTAATTTCATTTTTGACACACAAACGAAAAACGATGGAAGCATCACTTAAAAAAAAAATGTGGAATTTCGGTAATGATAGAAGTTTACTGCGGGGCAAGTTTTTCGTTTCTTTCTAGTTAGGAAACGATTGAAATTTTCAGTGATGTCGATTGAATAGTTGATTGACTTGATGTAAACCTTTTTCTTTTTTCAATACTCGCCTGGAGAATGTCCTAGGTCACACAGGCGTCTGAAGGGCAAATTTGTTGGTCACTCTTTCAGGGGCACCCTATTATGTGGACCAACGTTGCTCCCACAGTAAGGACAGAGAATGAAAGAACATCCATGCCCTGCCCGGGATTCGAGAGCAGAACCTTTCTGATGCAAGGTCAGTTCCCTGACCCCTACAAAGGCAGATGTAAACCTGAGTTTGTTAGTGATGTGGTTGAAATTTCACAAAGTGAAAAAATCTATTTGGCGAATTATGCTAGGGAACGAGAAACAACTGAAACTAACGTTATCTTAAGAAACAAGGTTTCAATGCATAACTAGTCATCCTTTCATTTTGTGACACAGCGAAGTTAACCGAATTTATAGCCAGAACGTAAATATTTACCGCAACTTCTTTTGAAATTTATACAAATATCGTTTTTTAAGCTCATTTCCCCTTCTTTTACAAAGAAATAAGCAGGCTCGTTAAGTAACAGAACCGGTTAAACTTCTTTCCAGGTTTCGAATATCAATTAAAGTTGAGGCAAATAATTTAGAGACGAAACAGTTAAGAGGCTATCACACGTCGTCCACTGAAATTTGAATAGTCTGTAGCCCAGAGCAAGCTTTATTAACTTAAGAGCAGATTCTATAGAATACTAGTCGAACACCTGACACCACTATTTAACAAAGCAAATTCACAGCAGGAATTTATACTTTCATATAACATTCAATTATCATATTTCTTATCATTATCAGCTGTTTGCCCACAATAAGCGAACAGTGTACGACATGGAGGCGGGTATAGGAGTGAGCAGCCCCAACCGCTCCCATAAGCAAATCGAAAGTGGTTGAAATTTCAATTAGCTATAATTAATTTCTACTTGCAGCGATCGCGAAAGAAAGGATCTAGACTGGATCGCATTTTAAAAACAATTGTAACTTGCACAGAGCACCCATCGGAATTTTAGCACTGGAGCTAAACTCCTGTTTGTGAAAATTGCAACACCATGAAGGAATCGTCATAATTCAATGAAATTTACTACACAGTTGAGTGGTAGTGGTACAAATAAATGATTAAACTTTCAAAGCAAACAAACAATAACAAGAGATCNGCCCGAAAAAAAAAGAAAAGAAATCAAACCATCATAAGAAAAAAGTTTCAAAAACTAAGAAGAAAAATAAGAAAGAAAAATTACTGGAATATCATAATAAAGGCAATAAATTTTGACATTAGATATTAACTGGAAAATAATAAAATTTGAAAAATAACTGTAAATTTCTACAGAAAATATATATTTAAGATAAATACAGATTTTTTTCTGTTCTTAATCGTAATACGCGAGCAGCAAAAAATTACCGTTTTTTTTCCGAACTTAAACTGCGTATTTGATGATTGTTTTTCAAAAAGCAGTTATTTCCCTTAATCATAAACGGATTAGAACTGTCAATTCAAATATTAGTTTGCCATGCTGTTTTGCTTACCGTAAGATAACTATTATCAAATTATTTTACTATTATTTTCTATACTTGCTCTTACTTCTCAGAAACTATTTTATGGTTTTGAACATCAGATAAATACAATTGCGATTCGACTTCCTCGTTAAATTAATACTACTTTATTATTTATCCACCTTAGATATAATTTTTCGGTCATTTAAATTGACAGACATAATTGCAATAATTAGGTGGGCCACTGTAGTTTTAAATATTTTTACACTCTGAATATGATTTCAATAAGTAAGACTTTTAAGATGAAGACAGTTTAAAATTTTTCTTCATAAGCAAAAATTTTTTTTTTGTTACTGACAGTCTAGTCAGTTTTTTTTGTTACTGACTAAGACAATCCAGCTTCACGAAGGCCGATGATTCTCCCTCTTTCAAACTCCGCAAGTTGTTGAAATTCCGCTCTCCTTCGTCGAAGAGGCATAAGTAACGTCTGAGCTAACGTTTACCACTAGCAGATAACCACCGATAACCATAAACGCCTCGCTACAGCCGTCTATTTATTCGAATCCATCCGCCGTTCAGAGGGCGCTGCTCAGCATACGCATGCGCTACGGGTCTGAAATTCTAATCATTTGCATATTATGCTCTACTTTGCATTTCCTGAAAATTTCAGCTCACTCGCGTAAGTCCTTCATGGTGTTGCAATTTTCACAAACATGAGTTTAGTTAAAAAAATAATCGAAATTTTGTAAAACTTTGTTTTTCCTGTCTCAAGAAAGAAAACAATATTCTAAGAGGAAAACAATTATCTAATTTTTATTTACTCTTCACTTATTGAAGAGCTCAGTTTATCAATGCTCTTCATACGTAACTTTCGATTTACTTCGAGTAATCTAATTTAATCTTTATGACCATTTATGATTTAATTTATGGATGCAAATCACTAATGATTTCATTGACGCAGATGATATAATCATTGAAAACATAATGATCATTGATTAATACTTACAAGCATGAGGTGAGTCAGCATATCTAACACTTCCGGAGACAGATCAGTACTGGGTGGATTGCTAAAATTCTGTTTCAAGAAGTGGAAGATTCCAGCTCCTCTCAAAAAACTATCAACAGCAGCGTCCATGCCTTCATTCTTTGTTCGATCCTGAAGTTAGGAAACAAATTAATTTAAAAAAAACTTTATTAAATATTTGTTACTCATTTTTCAAGCGCGCTACTAAAATGTTTCAATGTTTGCAATATAAGTTAATTATCTATAACAGTGTTCCAGCTTCTCTCTCGATTTTGTCAAATGAAGAGGGACTGGGCCACCAGGAAGCAAGAGAATTCTTATACTTGAACCGTCAGCTATTATTCTAAAAATATTTATGCATACGCTATGGTCAAAGAATATATGGGCTGTGAAAGCATAGGTAAAAAAGTGTCATCAACAGGACATGATTCGATATTCCTACGAAGGTCATTTTCTAAAATGTTCCTCTTAGAGATCTTTCTGTTGTAATTAAAGATAAGTACCCCCAGGGGAGTTAAATATTTGTTGATATCAGCATAAATGGTAAGAACATAGAGTGGTGATCAGTAAACGAAGACAATCAAATAATGCTTCAAAAGTGCGTAAGAAGTCGAGTCTAAGTAATACAATTATATCAATGTGTCAGGTCACTTTCTGTTATGCAATGAGAACAGGTTTGCTTAAAGTAGAACAGAATAAGTCAGCGCTGTCATTCAAAATAGGTAAAAGTCTGAAGGAAATTAAAATCAAGGCAAATGTTCAAAGCAATGAATATATACATAAAATGGCTAGACTAAGTAATGATGAACCATTACATTCACTAAAAGTCAATGTAAGCTAAAAGTTAAACAGCTAAAAATTAAGATAATGAAAAGCATGATTTAAAATCGATGGATGCCAAAAGCGCCGGTGCAAATGGCAAGAATTAAAATGATGATAATACTTAGAATATTAGAGATGAAAACTTGAAACAGGTACAACTAGCTAGACCGATACATACGAGAAGGAAAATCGAACCGATTTTTCAGAGTAGGTAACTGATATAAAACTATTGATAACAGTTTTGGTAAATTAGATTAAAAAGAAAACTTGAAAGACTTAACAAATATTTTTTCTTGGACGTTTGTATTTGCAAAATACCAGTAGGTATGACAAGACAAACATATTTTGAAAAACCAATTGTGTCTCAAAATGACAGAAATTTTTTTAAAAAAAAACAATAAAAAAAGAGAGAAATGTATGGTTAGCTGCATTCTGTTTGAAATAGAACTCTTCCTCGTCAACAGCAAATGGTGCTGCTGACTGGGAACTGTAGAACATTATTTTCTGCATATTGTCAGAGTCTAATTTTTCATGCTCCTGACTTCACTTGTATTTGCTTAAAATGATGATTATTTTGAAAACGCTGTTTTATAGATTTTTCTGCAGTGCCATCTACGTGCGAACTTTGTAACTAATTTTTAAAATTCGAGAGGAAGAAAATTAACTGGTTTCTTAAGCGGAAAATCGCGAACTGTGCTTTTCTAACGCAGTATATTTATAGGACATGAACCATCAGTATAAGTATCAGAGTAAAGTATATAACATGGCGAACATACAGTTCATACAGTTTTGAGTTGGAACAAACTGTACAAAAAACAAGTCCTAAGAAAGTGTCTTAAAAGCAGTGATTAAAAGTAACAAGATATTATTCGAAAACAGAAAGCATATTTGTAAGCAAGAGTTCAACCTGCATCTATTGGACTCACCTGTTTGGCACCGATTTGCGTGTATAACGCTGCGATGTTAAATAAAATGCTAGCTTTCTCAAAAGCGATGCTCTTTTGCATACTTGGTAAACCAGTTAAACTATCAAACCTAAAAAGAGAACAAAAGCTTCTTAAAATTTGGAAATAAGCTACCAATTTGTTATCTTATTCTCATTTACTTATTACAAATTTAAACATTTATCGATTTTCAGTTTTATAACAGAATAAGAAAGAATAAAATACATAGAATACAAATCAATGAGTTTATATTGCTCTTACCACTCAAAATGAAGTCCCAAGTTTCTGTGAGATGCAAAAAATCTTTTATCGATAAAATAGAGGAGATTGTAGTATTGAAATAACATTTTTACTCCAGATGCATCTCTGGAAGGCGTCCTGACAGCCTGAAAATAGAATTGTTTGTTTGAGTCATGAGGAAATCTACAATTATTTTATATAATGGGTGATTAATGAACCGACTTCTATCTCCTATTTTGTTCAACTATCAACACCTGGATACAAAAATATAAATATTTTGAGCTAAATAATACGTCTAGAAATCAGCCTCAGTCCCTCACTGGCAGCAACCTCACTCAGAAATCAATTCGTAATTGCCAAATCGTACCTTAGTTGATAGAAAAAATACTTATGAAGAACAAAATGAGTTTCTTGCAAAACAATATGCATAAATGTGGTTACAGTGCAATGTAATTACTATGAAGATCTGATGACCACCATTGTCATGATCCATGATGGTTAGATCTTTTCTTGATGAATTCTTCAAATTCTCCGTCATTATGGAATTTAAACCTTCATATTGGTTTAAAAGAATTGACACTAGACTACTGAGAATCTCCACACTGACATGGGCTAATTTAAAAGCGTCCCTATCAAGCGGGGCAAAGTTACTGATAGCTTATTAAATATATTTTGCATCTTAAGTACTCACGATGAGCCTGAGAATGTGCAAAATAATGAAATATAGTATTTTAACCTTAGGCGATGAGCAGCTGAACTTTTAGTGTTCGATTTTGAAACCAGCATACAAGATCCGGAAATTCCGCAGTTAAATTTTCAATCTTTCTTAAGCATTTTTAGGTATGTGATGTGATAAAGTTTACCAGCATTTTAAATATGTAATCATGATTGATAGGTATTTTTAGTATTTAATAATGGTATACTGGTATTTTAAGTATGCAAAATTACTATACCGGGGTTTTAAGTGTGTGATTATGTTATACCGGAAATTGAAATAAGCAACAATAGTATACCGACTTTTAATAAAAAAATAAATTGTTGACAAAAATTTCTTTAAGAAAATGGTCAAAAACGCAAAATATGATCACATTGGCCTAACCGGAAAAATATCACATTGGCTAACCAGTTGCAGACGTGAGGGTTAAAAACGATAGAAACAGTTGGAGCAAAGTAATGAAAACTTATGAGATGAGAGCATAACAAATTTCCTGCAAACAATTATGTTCAAGGAATTAAATCTGTCACACAATGGTAACCACTCAACTTACCTGCCTTATCTGATTTAGTTGTTGAATGGCGCTGTCAAATTTACTATCATCTTCACTGTAATGTTCAAGGATGAAATCCTATTTGAAAGACAACATAATTATTGTCATTAACTGATTACAATTTATCCTATTATAAATTTTCCTTTTGCTAATTTGATTATTCAAACACAAGTAATGTCACAAGAGCCTTTCATTTATTCTGAATATATAACAATAAACATAGAGGGAAAACAAAATTCTATAAGTGCTGCTAAAGAAGTAGCCAGTATTTTTTTCTTTCTTTATCTAAAGATTTTTTTTACTAAATCTTATTAATTCCAATTAACACTTGTTTATGATAATTTATTATTTTAATGACAGTTCAGTAAAACTCACACTGAAATTAGTGATGGTACATTTTTAAATTATGCATCATATGTCTATTATTGCAGTAAACTGCTATACCTTTTTAGTTGAATTATTAATACCGTAAACCGGGGCGAGTCTACCCATCCAGGGGCGAGTCTACCCATTTTAGTTTTATTTAATTTTCACTATTTTAAATTGCAAATAAAAAAATTTTTACCAATGGAGGACTTAGTTCAGACTCTAAGGAAGATGGCGCTGTAGTAGTTTGATCCGTTTTTATTTATTTGGTGTCTTTTTAACCGACCTGTTCAAACGTCTTTTGAGAGATTTGTATTGAAAATCAGCAAACTTTTAGTTGGTGCTCCGTAAGTATATTATTATTATTACTATTTTCACTTTGGTTAAGTGATAAACTTATCTAAGACTAAGATTACATTAATTTTATATGAAAAAAAAACAAAAAGAATGTAAGTTTTGCTGTTGTAAACAAAAAGCCAGAATTCGCGGGGCGAGTCTACCCATTCGTATTTAGTTTTAATAAAGCATAATAATATAATTTAGAACTTTGTTTATATTAAAATTAAGTCATTTTAAATGAATTTGAGTATATTATTTTAATTCTGCATTGATAAATTTATCATTAATAAGAAAATTTATAGGTTAAATATAAATGTAAATATAAAATATGTTTATTTTACCTATTTTTTCAATTTTTATATTACAAAATTAACTTTTTTTATTTAATGCAAGTTAAATAAATTATTATTTATAAATTATTATTACCTCCCAAAAGAATGGGAAAAGGATTTTTCATGATTCCCAATGTTTGAATTTCGATTTTGTTAATAATCTTTAATTATTATTATTTATTAATTATTTAATTGTAAATTTATATTAATTTTAATTTATTTTTATCAACAATAATCAGAAAAAAATGTTATTTTATAATGTTAATGATTATAAAAACAAAACTGTGATCAAAATGTGATAATCGATCAAATACTCAATTTGTGTTATTTTATGAATAAAAAAATGGAATATATAATAAAGTTATGAATTTTACTTCATAAATATCCTATATAGTAACTAAAATAACAATTTAATAGTAAAATTTGATTATTTACAATGTTAACATTCATTTTAGTAGAATGGGTAGACTCGCCCCATACGAGAGATTTGTCAGCAGTTCTATAAAAATATACAGTAACAGCGTAACTGTTAATATTTTCTAAAATCGATTTCACAGCTTCAAAGAGGGATAAATAGCGATTCCGAAACACCTATTAAAAGCCTTTTTTCTTTAATGTTTACAAAAGTTTGACCACTTGAAAGTTGACAAACTGAAAAAACGGGTAGACTCGCCCCGGTTTAAGGTAGGGTAAAAATTGAATTTAAACAAGTTCAATTGTTTTTTTAAAACCGAATTTTTTTTATTAAAATCATAAAAATAGTTGCATTATTAATGCTAAAAATGTTAATCAAAAAAATGAAAAAATCTAAATTATTCTCGGAAATAAATCGGTTTAATACCGAAAGATATTTTGAAAATATTTTCAAATGTTTAAGAATGAAAAATAGAAATAAGCAAAAGAAGTGAGTGATGATATATTTTCTATCATAAGTTAACAACAATTGTTTATAATTAATTTAACTAAATAACTTTCAAAATAAATTTTTTAAAATCAATTGAACAATAACACAAGCTCTAGAGGTAACAAAATTAATCTACATTAAAAACAATGTCTGACCAGAAAAAAAGATGAAACAAAACAACAAAAAAAAAGTTTCGGTGGGATAAAAGTGGCAACTTCTGCAATAGAAAACTATTTACAGTCGAAGCCCGATATAACGATCCTCGTATTTTGGGCGCAAATGGACGTTATAATGTGAGATCGTTGTATCGTGAGAGTACAAAAATACCATCAATACTAACTTAATATGACAGTAAATATTAAAATTAAATCATGCATTGTTCGAATACTTTACCTTGAAGGGCTCTTTGAAATCAATTTCTTTCGTTTCTTTTAAACCTAAGGGTACCATTGGCATAGTTGGAATGGAACTAGAGCAAAAAATTTAAAGTGAGATATTTATAAGAAAGTCACCAAAAATAATCGAAATTGTTAAGTATAAAAGCTTAATGAACAAAAGCGAAAAACTGAAGTTTATAATTTAAATATTTTTAAAATTAAATACTGTGTACATAAATCGTAATTTACCTATTGTTTTGATAAAGCATCACTGAACTGTTAAGATCAGCAAGTTGTTCTTTGAGAAGTTGGAGACTGGAATTGACAAAACTCAATTCCAAAGCTATCGTTTCTTTCAATTTCTTATTTACTGTTGCTCTGAAAATTAAGGGTTGCAATTGTTTAACACATTTGTTTGGATCACTTCGAAAAACATTTACATACATTCTTAACAAACATTATCACAATACACTTACATTTTATTTTATAACCAGTGTTGAACAGCCGACAAGTTTTTCTGTTAAGCGGTTATTAACGCTCAACTCCTTTAACCTTGTAATTTTGAACCAGAATACAAGGGGGAACTCCTGAATCAAGCACTGGAACAAACTAGCTTTCATGATTTTTTGTTGATGGAGCGAATCCGTTACATGGCGAGGAAAACCACGAAAACTTCCCACGGGTAGCCCGACGACAAGGTTATTTAATCCCATGGTCCGTTTACTATTGGGGATATTTTACGACAGCACTATGGTAGTTGATGACAGTGTCTTAAAATCTTATATTGACAGTTCTAACTTATTGGAAATTCTCTTCTGAATCCGAAAATCTTATTGTTTTTTTCCCCCAACAAATGTTTATTTATTGAGTTATTAAACATTTAAATTGCTCTAAAAAGTCCCCGAAAGTGATACAATCGACAACGATCCCTGATTGACCCCCCATCACAAGTGTTGAATGGAAACACGCATCATGCGTCTGCTAAGGCTATTTCAATGCTCTTTTAGTTTTGCTATCGCTTATATATCGTATGATCGTTACTTATTACTAAGGCCCGGATTTTGATGACATTTGCATTTTTTTGCATTTTTGGACATTTTTTGTCCTTTAGAGCATTTTTTTAGATTTATAGGGCATTTTTTTTTAAATTTAGGGGCGTATTTTGCATTTTAAAGCATTTTTTTAGGTTTTTGTTAATTTTTTCCAATTTTTATTATTTTTTGGGGTATTTTTATTACATGAAATGCAAGATTTGTCTCATAATTTTACATTTCATATTGTAACTATCAAAGAATGTTTCAAAACATTTGCTCCTAGTCAGCTTTGGCCCCTAAACCAGTAATCACACGATGGGGTACCTGGTTGGATGCATGCGTATCTGCAGTGAAAATTTTAAGATAGTGAAGTCTATCGTCAGTAGTTTAGATTCAGAAGGTGCTGCATCAATTAAGATAGCGCTAAACGTGTTCGCTTCTGATAAAATCAAAGGAAATTTAGCATTTATCAAGTCTAACTTTGCTATTGTGTCCTCGACAATTACAAGCTTGGAGAAACAAGAACTCGAACTTAGCAATGCAATAAATTATATTGATGTACTGAGTCGAGTGTTGCAAAAAGCAAGGGGAAAAATAGGACAAAGTATAGCAGCTAAATTGAACAAAGTTTTGGAGAAGAACACTGGCTTCCAAACAATGAAGAAAATCTCTAGGATACTAACAGGTGAAGCAACAACTTTTCAAATTGAATAAGAATTGTCAGTGAGACCGTCTTTTTCAAGTACGCACTATTAACATCAGTAGACATTGAAAGAAGCTTCTCCAGTTATAAATATTTACTTTCAGACAAGAGACGCTCGTTTACATTTCAAAATATCGAAAAACATTTAATAATCCAATGTAATTCTGATATTTAGTAATATTATTGGATGTAAGTTGGTATATTCATTAAAGTTTCTATACAAAATGTAAATGTTTTGATGCCAATATATTTTTCCCTTTTTTTGTTATTTTAGGATATAAAACATATTTTTCAAACTTTAATGAACGTAGAACAAGTATTGCATTGCTTTATAGTTTTTGAAATGACTCATAATTTTAAAGAGTAAAACATTGTTTTAGTTCGATATTTTTACTTTATTTAAGTCATGTCATAAGGCATTTTTAGCGCAATTTTCGCATTTTTAGAGCATTTTTAAGGGCATTTTTTGCACTTTTTCAGGGCATTTTTTAAGGGCATTAGTTGAGATTTTTTAGGTCATCAAATTCCGGGCTCTACTTATTACAAATTTTGTGAATTAAATGAACGCTTTTCAGTGAGAAAAAAACGGAAAAAAAGATTTTTAAACAGACTGTTTATTTATCTCTAAAATTGCCAAAGAAATGATTATGCAGGGAATCAACATTCCTTTTCGACTGAAGTCAGACCTTTCAATGTCCAAAGTAAAGATTATTTTATTCCAATTATTTTCAAGTTAAAATATTTTTCAAATAAAGCTTATTTAAATCAGTAACAGATAGGGTAGAAATAGAATGAATTTAGTAATAGCGCTGTCGATTTAGGCATACCGTATTGCATTAAAACGAATATATGCTTTCATAACTCTAATCCACTAAAAAATATGCATCGTTACAATCTATGTGGATAGTGTTCAAATATTCTATTTGATTTTTTAATTTAATTTTTCCATATGAATTCAGCAAATCATTAAGCTAACAGTTTTTGCTTCACAAGGATTTTTTTTTTTTACTAATGCAGTTTCTTTTTACTATATATTAAATATTTAAATTCATAATAATGCTCACATCTATTCGCAATATTAATCTTTGAGTAATTAGGAATTTTGCTATGGTTAGAAATTATATTTATTTATACAGTTTAATACCTCTTTCTGCAATATAGCGTTTATAAAGTATGATTATTGTTAATTTATCACCTTATTTCTGTACATAAAAATTAATTAGTGCTGAACTTGTTAAGCTGAATTCTAAAGTAGAAAAATTAATGAGTTAAACATTTTTAATAAAAGAAATAACTTATTCAAATAATTCACACACAGGTATCGCTAAAAATCAAATGATCACTTTTAAGAATCTAGTCTATTGAAAAATATCATTCGATAATCATCATCGCCGTAATCTAGGCGATTATGCTCAAAATTTAACTTGATATAAATTGCAGCGAATCATTTAATTAGACACTTTTATTTTTCAAAAGCTGAAGAATTAGAACCAAAAACCCTCATTCAAAATGAAAATAATTAATGCACTTTTTTATTATTTAATCTATAATTAAATAGGCAGCAATGTTGATATTTATTCTCAATATTTTTATTTTTTGAGTGAATAGGATTTTTGCTATATTTAAAAATTATTTTCCTGTATTTTTATAAAATTCAATTCCTATTTCTGTTACGTAGAATTAAATAAACGCATTTTCTTGATTTTAATTGTATGAATAAATGCAATTAAAATAAAGTTTACTAAATAAATTTTACGGAAATACATTAATTTCTCCTTTTCTTTTTTTTTTTAGCTCAAAGCAATATTTAAATAACAATAAAATAGTTTTGTTACTATTCTTTATAATGCATTCAAATGCACCGGTCCAATTTTGGGTTTACGACTACTAATGTTCAACTCTGTAGACTTATAATTTTGAACCCAATCTAGAAGTCATGGGAATTCGTGGATCAAGTATTGGGAGAAATTTGTCTTCGTGGAGGACTTTTTGATGGAACTAACCCGCATTTGCGTTACATGGAGAAGAAAACCACGAAGACCTCCCACGGTTAGCCTGACTGCCAGGAGACTCTAAACCCATGATCGGTCTACCAATGAAGATATTTTACGTCGCCACTGTGGTCTGTGAGAGCCTGGTGCGGAATTCGTCACGGGGATTCGAACCCGGTTCACCTCATTGGACGGCGGACCCTCTACCTCCTGAGTCACTAAGGCCTGCTTTATAATATAAATGTAATTCGACATTACCAGGGAAATCAGTATTTGATTTCTGATTCTTTTTAAATTATTTTTACAGAATGAATTAAAAATTTTGCTAAGACCACAACTTTCTTAAAAGGTCATAATATTGTTATACTAAAAATAATTCCCTGCATTATGCTAGAATAAATAAGAAGAAATATTAACTTTAATGTTTTAAATTTTAAAAATTTAAAACTATTCTAAATAAAAAATTTAATTCAATATCTCTTTCACTTTAATGTGAATTTTAAGACATAAAACAAAATCTTCGGAAAAAAATCTGAAATATTCTTGAAATTTAATATTAATATGGTTAAAAAAATGAAAGAATAAAATTATTTTGTATTTATAAAGCATCATATGAATAGGTAATTAGGTATCATCGGATATAACTCAATCTTACTCTTTTTTTACTGAACTATAAATATTCAGAGATATAAATTTTAGTCAACTATTAAAAACATTTCAGTCGATATTAAAATTTAATGATATAAAAATTTATTATATTGAGCCCCCATTTTCATTAAGCTACATTAGGGTATAATTACATTAAGGTATAATTAAATCTTTGTTCTGACATATATATTCACAATCTAAAAAGTTAGATTTTGTTAAGAAAATTAAAACAAAACCTAAAACATAATGGATTTCACTGATTGTAAATAGGTATCTGGCACTGGTGACGTCAATTCGTAAATAACCCCCGTTTCAGTNTTCCTAAAGTTGAATTTGTGAAGGTACCACTAAACGGTAGTAAATTCGGCCTGGACAGACCCCTGATTAGGGTATAATTACATTAAGGTTTAATTAAATCTTTGTTCTGACATATATATTTACAATCTAAAAAGTTAGATTTTGTTAAGAAAATTAAAACAAAACCTAAAACATAATGGATTTCACTGATTGTAAATAGGTATCTGGCACTGGTGACGTCAATTCGTAAATAACCCCCGTTTCAGTTGAAAACGGAAATAAGCGTTTTTTGGTTAACAATAATTAGCACTCTTAGGGAAGTGATAAAATATTTTCTGGCTGCTTTGACTAATTTTGAATGCATTCAGAGTTCTAAAAAAATTGACTATTATTGACCATTTACCGATCTTAGCCATGCAATTAAATTTGTTAAACATAAAATTAAATATTTCGCAATTTTTGTAGCTTTAATCTTTATTAGTAACGCCTGTTTAATAGATGTTTACAAACAATAATTGAAACCTTAATGTGAATGATAAAACTACATAATACAGTATTTCTTTTCCATTGTGACCAAATTTTTAAGCAAAATAATATTTGTCAATGAAATTAAGGATATAAAAATAGGTATCTTATCAAATAAATACTTCATTCATGAATCAACCAGAAAGTATTTAAACACAATAATTAATTTGAATAAAAAAAATGAAGCATATGATAGTTGAATAATAAATAAAGAAGCGAGGAAAATATATATTACATTTATTACGACGAATATGAAAATCCGGTACATGAGAAACTGCCAACGACACCTATTTTAGGCTCATTGAAATGAAACTAACAAACGACGACAATAGTTTGCAAAGAGCTGAATTCTCTAATTAGCCTAAGAAGACGTATACATCATACAGTGTTTGTAGACAGGTGTTTAAAATTTTTGAAGAATCAAGATCAATTTATTTAATTATTGCAGATAATCGTGAAAACAAATTCAATTTTACGAATAAAGAACAAAAACATGTCAATAAATTCTAAATCACAATTATTAGCTTAGGTATTATTATTTTTTTAAAAATGCATTTACTTGTATAATTTCTCCGCTCCGTTTCTCATCATCGTTTGATAATTAATTTCTTGATTGAGCTTCGCTCTCTGAATCTGTAATCTGCCTCTGCATGTCGCCGCCAGAGGATCAGTCCCCTAAAAATAATGAAAAAGAAAATACAACTTCAATCTTGTTACGCGATAGTTTTTAATAATTTTTTCAGTAATTTGTTTTGAAAATTGAACTTAGATTTCTAAATCTATAGCCTACTTATTTACGTCGTTAAAAAGAAGCTCTCCAAATATATTAAAAAAAAAAAACTACTGCTTCAATCTTTTTCAGATGTGTGTATTGAACACTTTAAAACAAAAATAAAATTCACTATTTTCTGAATGAAAACAAGATAATAAAAACAGCTATATATGATTGAAAATTGTATACATTTTTTTATTTATTTATTCAAAATCCCTACAAAAATTGAAAAAAATAAGAATTTTTTTTAAAATTTTGTAGCACGACATTTTTACTTAAGTACACAATTCTTTCACAAAACTCTAAAAATAACATTCCAAAAAAATCTGAGACAAAACTGAAAATTGAATATTTTAAAAACTTGCAACTCTGAAGAAAAATTTACGAACCAAAAATGCAAAACAAACAATTAAGTACTTTAAAAAATAATTTTATGATTGAAGAGCTTTTTAAAGATTTCAAGCACCCGTACGAATCTTATTATACTTCGATAAGGAAAACAAGTAAAACGACAGAAATGTCAAATATATGTAAGGAAAAAAAAAAATAAAGAAAACTAATATATTTTAAAACAAAAAATAATACCTGTATACAATTGAATTTTATTTCAATTATATAAAATTATGTTTTATACCATGTTCCAAAAATTTACTTCTTACATTAGAAGGGTATTTTTTATTTTTATATGGAAGAAAGTATATGTCGGAATTGAATGGAAAAATTGGTAGACCGTAATAAAACAGTTGCTGTACTGATTATCGAGAACGCCATATGGAAGGTACACAGCTTTTTCTATTTTAATATATTTTCTAAGCATGACATGAAAAAGAAATGATCACATAACAAATATGACAAGCGAATTGCATGTTTTTACAAGCAAAAATAGGGGAGGGGAGCTGTTACTTGTCGCGTCATCGTTTGGATCGAAATATGCAGTTGATGGATTGACAAAACAGTTAAGCTAAACCTACCATTGAATCTTGTTAGCAAAACAAAACCTTTCTGACGTTAGTCTAGGTAACTTTTTTTGAAACTACTTTTATTTTATGTTTATTCGAATACTACTAGGGATGAAACGAATGTTCGGCAACTATTCGGTATTGAACCTATTCGGCAGTTCGCTGAATGTTTGGCCAAATACTCGGCCAAGTATTTTTTGGAAAAATATTTTTGACAACGTTCTTCTTTTTTTTTTTAATTTAGTGGATTAAATAAAGAATTATATAAAATAATATTTTTATTATGCTTATCTGATATAGTTTTCACACATATTTGTCGAGTTTTAAAATTCATGTGCTTGCAAATTTACGTTCTGAAGAGAACAAATGGAAAAGCGAAATTTCAAGAAATGAAACTAGATTACTGTATGCTGAACCGCGTGTTTTGTATTTCTTTAAATTTCATTCAGGCTAATACATATAACATATTATATTCAACACTTCTGAATTTTTTTTTTCGGTTTCGTTTTTGCTGTTACTGTTATAGGGCGGTATTTTAGTGGAACATTTTATGATAGATTTTATTCTTTTATTGTTACTTTTTTTCCTGTACGGTAAGACAGACAACAGAAAAGCTGTAATTTTCTATGTTTAAAGTTATATTTTAAGAAATACGAAGAAAAAAAAATTCTACTTCTTCGTTGTCTTCTTTTATTAACATTTTATCAGCGTTTTTATTATGACACAACATTTTTTTAAAGACATCTTCTAATGAACGTTATTCTTTTATCTTCATTTTTTTTCTAAAAATATGATTAGGTGAAAAAGTTAAATTGAGATTTTTAGCTTCACATTTTCTTTTGGAAATTAAGTTCTTTTTTTTCCTTTTTTTTTTTGTGTTTCTAACTAGCTCTTTCTTTTTTAAAAAAAAACTTTGATTTTTGATTTTTATATTATACTATAGCAATTTAAAGGGTTTCTATTAAACTTAATTCTTTTCTCTTCACATTTTTCTCGAAAATACAGTATAACTGGAATACAGTATAACTTGAAAAACGATGTTTCGATGAACGAACAGTATAACTGGAAAAACGATGTTTTAAAATTTTCTTTCGAAAATTAAGATCATTTTTTATTTTTTCTGTTTCGCTTTTGCACAAAATCCTTTGTTTTCGTGGAATTTTTGTGATAGCACGGCATTTTTAATAGCGTTACGGATAAACTATATTTCTTTTAACGTTTCATATATACTATTTTGAGGAAAATATTATTTTTAGTATTAAAGTTCTGTATTAAGATTTGAGAGAATTTTCTTCGCTATTTCCCTTTGGCTTTTTATCTTCAACTTTACAAGTTTTTTTTTTTTTTTTTAATAATAGCTGTTATTTTTTTATTTATCATAAATATTTCTATTGGATAAATATTAAATTTTTTTCCCTTTATCCTCCACACCAATTATACAGCTAAGTTTTCATTAATTTTCAATAATGCCTTAACTTATTTATGTATAAAAAATAATATTTATAATTGATTTTTTTTTCAAAGGTTGCTTATTCGGCCGATTGTTTTGGCCGAATATTCGGTATGTGGCTAAATCACTATTCGCTACATCTCTAAATAATACCTATTTTATTCCTCACAAAATAAACCTGTCATTTGCAATAAAAAAAGAAAAAGAATTGAAGTAAATACCCAGAAAGGGTAGCACAAAGGAAAAGTTTGCGGGCTGATCCATTGGCAAAAACCTCACAATGCTTCGGAATTAAATTGCATCTATTCATCAATAAAATCATTTTAATATATAGAATTTTCGATACGTTAATCAAGTTTTATTTTAGTTTCTAACAAATAATTTGCGACATGAAGGATTGCCTTGATGAATTGCTCCGAGTACATGATGCAGCTCAAATTTCAAAAGCATATAAATGCAAACTTCGGAGAGAAAAATATGCAGATTTAATCTGCGTCACTGGGACTTAATGTTTTTCTCTCGTTTTCTTATTTTTTTTTAAAAAAGTAGAATAAATTAAATTTGCGAATAAATTAACAATCTTTCAAGTAACCTCAAAAGGATATCATATATGATCAGAGCTCATCAAAATACATTAAAATGTTTTGTTTGAAATCAGGGTTCCGATATTTAACTTGGTGCCAGTTCCTAGGGAATCCACTACAGCTAATGGCATCGACGTGTATATATAGTAAATTAGTTGAACTTTATGGTGAAAAACAGTAAAACCTACAGCTAGAGATCGTGCTCGAACATAGGGGACTCATTTAAAATTTCAGTTAAAAAAAAAAACGAAATGTTCAACATCATTTAATTATTACAGCACACTCATAGACACGATAAATCGCTACCCACAATTGTTATGACAATTTCTTACTGCGTACAATATGAAAAGTACACAACAGTTTTCTTACCTGCAATATCACACAAATAAAATAACATTGCAAATGAACTTAATCCTTAACAGCTGAAATAATACATATTTGAGGGCACATGAGTAATACACATCGGTTTTACAATCTGCATTAAATCTGTACATGAACCAAGGCAACATGGAGAAAAAGACATTATTAATGAAGTCTGTATCATCACAATAATTAATAATGTAAGAATAGACAGCATAAAAGATACACAACGATTTATTTTTCTACTGTATAAAATAAATCTGTTTCCTGCAATATCACGAAAATTAGATGATATCATAGAGAAATGAACATAAGTTCTAAACATCCCAACAACGTTTAACGAAATAGTATAATTTGCAAGTGCAAAAGAGCACAAGAAAGTGCATATCGATTTTTCCATTGCATTAATTCATCACTATTATGGAAATTAGATAACATGGACATACTATGCATCATCGTAATACACGTAAAGTAACCATGGGACTGTTATGATAATTAAGATCACCATAGAATATAAAAAAAAGATCACCATGACGATGCTTTGATATTGCAATAAATATAACAAGCCTAAGCGATCATGCCGCTTTTTAAATGCCTTAAAAGATATCCAAAATGAAGAAGAAATAAAATATTATTCATTTGAAACATACTAATTTTATATACTGTAGAATATCGGAATCTCTAGTTAAAACATTATAACCGTCTTTTATCATTTTCATCAAATTACTTACAGTAAGGAAGAAACCCTCATCAAGGAACAATTTTTTTTGGTTTATTTATTTTTTATATTATATTTTATAATAGACTTTTGGAAATAACATATTATTTTTATAACGGGTATGATTTTGTAACAGATACAAAATAACTGTTATAGAAACTACAAGCAATTTTTATCTTTTATATCACGGACTGGATGAATAAATGCAGTCAGTCATTCCGTTGTGTTCGTGATTATCTCTCATCATGTAAATATGAATAAACGTTTTTGAAAGATATCGTTTCTAAGTAAAATAAGTGAAACCTTTCATCAAATTGACCTAGCTTTTTTTTCTTCTTTTTTTACCAGTTTCAACCATGCCTTGAAAAAGACCTTTTCCTTTTCTATATGAACGAAACAATTTGTGTACTGACTATTTGCGTACGAAACAATTTGTGTACTGACTATTTGCGTACGAAACAATTTGTGTACTGACCGTGGAAGGAATTTTTTTTATTAAAAAAAAATTCCACTTGAAACTGTCAGGAATTTCGATAAATAATTCTTGACATTCTTCTGGAATTAGTGGAAGAAATATTTTTAACGAAATTCTAATTACAACAATCAACTAAATAATTCGTACCTATATATTTGCTATATCAGTCATATAGATCAAAGAAGTTCAAGGTAGCACTTAATGCAAATACAATGTAAGAAAATTTATTTTAATATTGTTAGAAGATAAGACTGACAGTGGAATGATTGTTTTTTAAATTTCGCACAAAACTGTCAGAAAATTTTGCTAATTATTTTTAACAATCATCAGGTATATGTAAATAAAAAGTTTTAACGA